ATTAGTACATTTTATGGATTTAGAGTTGGAAAGTGCTCCCTCTTAAGCGAGTGAAAAGGTATATAAAACTATCAATTACTTTCATAATAAGTAATCTCCATTGTTAGAAAACATTACGCATACGTATGACAAAATTGACCCAAAATAAAGCCCATTTATAGGCAATTACCAGCCAAAAACTCCAAACTGAAACAGTTTGAAAGATGAAAATTGAATTAGCTAAACCAAGCGAAAAAAGCAAACAACGTATCATCCGAAAAATACCTTTCAACATTCAGACACGTCAAAGTCAAGCGTTTTTCCCTGCTACTGCTGGCATTTGATGATCTGTAAGAAAAAAAGTTACTTAATAACTATAAAAAGCGACTGAACCGAGGCACACCACACACTGGAGCACTCAGATACTGTCGGTGATAAATTGCCCCTTTTACAAGACAGAGAAGACGACAAAACAAAAAAAAAAACCTTCAGCGGCTGTTAACATTTTTGCGCTTTTTCTTGGCCTTCTCCTTCTTGTGCTGCTCTTGCTGTTTGCTGTCGAACGAATTTCACTTTCACAGCATCCGATACGAGAGTGGAACCTCGTGATTCGACCGGGGGCATGGGCATGTGTAGTTAATTACGCATGCTGTGGTCTGGTGCTGTGGGGGACTGGGCTTCAATTTCTATGCCACAATGGCAAATAATATCGATCACTTACGGCTGCAAACGACCACAAAAATGACATCGAGTCGAGTGGCAACGAGGGGCGGTACGCGTATGAAAAGCAGCGGCAGCAGACACGTTCCAAAAATGCACAGACAGACACCGAGACGCACAGCACATCTGCAAGTGAAACTTTTACCAGCCGCAAATTGATCCGAAAACATTCCGAAAACGAACAACAAATTCTGTTTTTTTTTGTCAATAATAATATTTGAGGTTCAAGCCGCTCCCAGTTCCAGCTCATCATCTAACCGCCATCAGGCATGTCGAACCCCCCCCCCCCCCCCCCTCCCCAAAAACGAATTTGTCAGCTACTCAATTAATAACCATAGACAAATATCCAAAAAGATTTGTATAAAGACATACAGACATGTATCTATATCCATGTAGTATGCTGGAGAGGCCGGTCCCCGGCCCCCGGAGGCTGGACGCCAGCCACTGCTCGGAGCGGGAGCTTTAGCTTCGACGGGGGATTTGTGAAAGCGTTCAATTAAATTAATGGACTTAACGAAGTCGTTTTGGCAAATGCCAAAAACAAAAACAACACCAGCAAAAAAAATAACCAACGCAACGCATTGAACGCATGGATAAATAATTACTTGTCCGAGGCATTAAATGCATTTTCGTTTTCTTTTAATTGACATTCGATGTCAATGAATGCCACGCGAGGCTCTAAGGAAAGTTGTCCTTATATGGAAATTTCGGGTTTGATGGAAATAAAGAAAACCGAAACAAAGCCTAGTGTGAATAGGAGGAGAAGCTTTTGAATATAAACTAGTTCATGGAGCTAGGCAAACGCTATGAATGTCCTTTAACTGGAGAGAATATCATATCTGGCTGAGCTTTCATTGAACTAGTTTATCCATAGAAAATGAGAGCAAAAGTACAGCTTTACATGCTGTTTTATTTGATTTGATAAATTACTGGTTTACTGGCTTCTTTGCATTGGACTTACACAGCAGGAAATGTCGTGCTTTAATGTGGGCTATTCAAATCCTTGGTGCCCGATCATTAACAATCGAAATCCATCCACGACTCGTATCGATATCCGGCTCATCAAAATACATAGGGGGTTGGGATCGGGATTGGGATCTGTATCTATATACACAGCTCGAAGCCACGTAAATTACCAAGAATTAGAACGAGCTCGCTCTCGGTCCGAGTGGAGTGGAGTGGAGTGGAGTGGAGATCTACTAGGAGTTATGTGAGTGCAGTGGTTCACCTAGTTTCCAGAGTGGACCAGTTGTGACCAGCGTCACGCATTGTCATTCAATCAATTGGAGACATCGGCGGAGACAACTGAGCTGAACCGCTTCTGCCCCTTCGGCAGCCTGCTGCTTGCAACTTTCCGCGCAGAGACAACAACTTTTCATTGAATTTTCACTTGCAGCGTCGCGGCGCGGGCACTTTTCACATGATTTAATGTTTGCCTGCTGCCCCACAGATACTACTAGTATTAGGCACTCGTAAATATGCCTACGAGGTAGATACATACGGCGCACGGGGGGGAGAAATAAATGAAAAATGCTGAACCCCGAGGATCGTAAACTAATTAGTTGAAAACAAAAGTGGCACCTTCTCGCGCCGCACAAACAGAGAAGAGATTTCTTTCGAGTGTGAGCAAATAATTTTATTGTGTTAATTAAAAAAAGAAACAAGACAAAAGCAGAGGCCAAGAAATAATGCCCTTATATGCGGCATCTCTCAGAGGAAGAAGACTGTCGTCGTCGGGCAGTGTACGAGCATGTGAGGGAGACCCAGAGACACAGAGAGAGAGAGAGAGAGAGAGAGACACTGAGATCTCCAGCGAAGAAAAACTTTCACTTGCCAAACAGCAACAATAAACAATTCCATTTGGCAGTTACACATAACAACAGCAACAACAAAAACTACAACAATGAGCATTATAAACAAGCTCCATCAGTTTCGGAAGAAAAATTTGTGTCTTCTTTGTCTGCGATTGAAGTCGCTTGATAAGGAATTTGTTCGGGTGCCAGCAATTAGCAGAGAATACTCTTGCCACCGCCGAAAAATTTCGCCTGCCTTTTTCCGCTAATTGCCAAAAGATTTCTAGTTTTATATGCAAATCTCCAGGCCATTTGCAGGGGAAGAAGAAAGTGAGTCAGGGAAAATATTAGTAGTCGTAAATAACCTATAAATACTCGTAGTTAACTGTTAAAGAAGCAAGCCAGAGCCACAGCCACAGCCACAGCCACACCAACAAGAATGATCGTGTCAGAGCTGCTCGGAAAGAGAGTGAGACAGGCCAATAAGAACGTAAAGCTCGTTCTTGTTGAAGGCTGAGTAAGAGAGAGGACTAAAAAAGGGAGTGACCCTCTCATTCATATAAAGTTCTAGAGTGAGAGAAGGAGAGAGAGAGAGAGAGTTACCAGCTCATTCGTTTTTACTGTAATTCATACATAAGATTCTAAGCTGCTGTTTGAAATGAGAGAGGACAAGCATGCACTTTACTGCAGAGAAAAGCTGTAAAGAGATAAGGAGAAAAGAAGCAAAGAAGATTGCATAATCCGATCATCAGCTGTATGTAGGGTTCAAGTCAATTCCAACTCCAGTCTGATGGATATCTCTCCTACTCCTCCTACCCACTCCCCACGGATCCCCCCCGCACAAAACATTTGACGGCAAGTTTGTGGTGTCCGTTACTGTTTCAGTGGGTTAATAGTACACTTGCTCAACGCCAGCAAGCCGGTTTACACTCCCGACTCCAATTCCCGTCTCCCAGCTCTTGGTTGGCCGTCTGCTGTGGCTCGTATTTTATGGCCAAGGCTTGTTAAAAGCCCATTTACATGTGTTTTGTGCTGAGAAGAAGAGTTGGGGAGTCAACTGTGGTACTGTGGAACTGTGGAACTATGTGTGGAGTTGGTAGTTGAAACTAAGAGCCGTGCAATATGCTCCAACTGTTGCCATCCATCTGTAAAAGTAAAACTGCCAGGCAACAACATTCACCAAAGGCCAAAAAAAGAAGAAACCAAATGCTGCCCCAGCCGCTGCTGCTGCTTCTGCTTCTGCTGCTGCTGCTGCTGCTCTTCTGGCGGCAAGTGAAATGCGTTCGCTGGGGCAGAGACGAGACCGAGACGCCACCGATACCATACCATACCATACCGCTTACTTTTCCAAAAGCAGCGCGCAGCAGCTTCAGCCTTAAGCTGTGTGAAAGCTGTCAGTCTTTAGCGGCACTCAGACGCAGGCGCACCACCACCGTCGGAGCTGAAATCGGAGTCAGAGTCGGAGCCAGAGTCGGAGTAGAAGTCGGAGTAGTCCAATGTTAACAGCGACTGTTAGGCGGAATGTAATGCTAGGCTACTCCACTGTTGGGCAACTGTAAAAGTAAGGCCCGAGAAAACACTCGAAAAATTAATGGGCCTGGCCATAAAGTGCAGCCACCGTGTGGAAAACCAGAGATAGAGACAGAGACCGACCGAATGCGTTGGCGTTCCTTTTGGCTGTCTGTGGCTCTGGCTGTGCCGATCGCAGAGTACTGTTATAGTGAAAATAGAAAGTGGTTCCTGTTTGGTGCGCGCGAGTTTTCATTTGTGCTTTACATAAAATGCAGCTGTGTGTGTGTGTGTGTGTGTGTGTGTGTGTGTGTCTGCTCTTTCTTTTTGTTAGTGTGTGTGCATCTGTGAGCCTGTGTGTCTGTGCGTGTCATCTGACATGAAAAGTGGCAATTGTTGCTATTAATTTTGGTGCTTAATGATGGCCATAAAGTCAGGCAGCGGCTGCTGCTGACTGACATCCATATGTAGATACAGGGTGCAGCTGGCTGGCTGTTAGATTTTTGCATAATTAAATAGTGGAAATAGTGATATTATCTAACCAAAGAAAGCGGAAAATAACCCTTAACTCGAGTTTGAATAGCACTTCAAATATAACTGTGGCTTTATTTTTTTTCTGTGAATAAAGTTTGAGGAAAGCTCAGCTCCCATTTGGCAGCTTCCACTCAGCTGTTAACGTTAACGTTAACGTTAACCCCCTCTGTTAACAGCCTGCCGCGGCAATTGAATGGCCTCAAAAATATCTTCGTATGCAAATCTGAAAAGCAATTCTGCAGCATTGTTTACCCTTGTTCCCCTTTCTTTTCTTGCAGAAACAACGAGAGGCAACATCCACCACAACGACGGAGTGAAGAAAGCCACAAAGAGCTGTCCGCGCCGTAGGAAGAAGAAGCAAACACAACAAAAAAAAATATAGATAACTTTTTTGTTGGGTTCCAAATCGCCAATTTGGAATTTCAATTTCAACAGAGAACACCAAACACATAGAACCAGATCAAAATGGGACACCACCTGACGCGACGCAGTTGCCTCTTGGCCATAGTTCTTTGCTTGATATTCAACACGAAGGTGAGTCCCATTCACAAGCCCAATCCCAATACCAATCCCAACCGATCTGTGAAAGTGACAGCCTTACCCATCGATTTTACAACCCACTCGATGGATTTCTACGATGGCAATCAAATATGCTTGTGCATAATTTCAATTAGGAAACGCCAAATGCTGTACAGTTAGAGTCCGATAGAGGAAGATCAGAGATGTGGCCCACTTTATAAGAGACATGAGCGCCGAGGCCGGCTGCGGCTGCGGCTGTGGCTGGGACAGAGGCTGTTCTCCGCCGCGAGCTCATTTCGTATGCAGTGGAGCCCCGGCCCGGCCTGGCCCGGCCCGGCCCGGCCACAGCCATAGCGGATCTCTTCACTTTCGACTCAATCGACTACCGTTTTATCAATAGCAATTCGAATGCAAATCAGTGCGAGTGTGCCTCTATTGATAGATTGGGTCTGTGCCGACAGAAGAGTCGGAGTCTGCTATCCGATCGGACGGGAGAGCCTCTACCTCTATAGCGGTTCTGCTGGCAGATCAATATCAGTCGGTGTCTGAGAGTAAGTGAGGGTTAGAGAAGGCTGAGGCTTAGTGTGCTGAGGTAAATGTAACAGCTGGCATTGAACGGCACTTTGCTAATCATTGCAATTAGTGATTGGAAATAATCCGACATATACTCGCAGAGAGAGAGAGGGAAATTATAAGAAGACTTAAGAGAATACAGTATAACCTCTAGGAATATGAAGGTACAGTGGAAAAGTCGTGAAAGACAAAAGATTATAGGATATTTTCAAGTTCAACTCTCATTCAGATATGAAAATATCATCTTCATGGGAAATTTATCCTATATTGAAATTGTAAATAGCCATTTCATAACTTATATATTTTTCTTTCTGCGAAAAGTTGGACAGAAGCTTACAGCAAAGCTCTCAATCTATGGCGGCTGTCAATCAATATAGGAAATGCCCATAAATTTATTTGATTTCTTGGTGCCTCCAAGCCTCAGACCCCTACACGCTTTCGATTGATAAGCATGCCCAAAACACAGTGTTTTCTCGTTCGCCCCCCCTCCCCCTCTCTCTCTGTGGATTGGCTGCCATGTAAATCGAAACATCAGTGGGTTATTTAAAGCGCATCAATCACTGGCCCCCGATGGAAAACACACACACACACACACATGCTCCACTCCACGCCATTTAGCCACTGCAATCACTGGCCGACAGTCTGTGAAGCTATGGCTCTGCTCTGGCGCTGTGGAGATGGTCAACTGGCCGAAGGAGATGATGATGGCCAAGGCAGCTGCGTGTCTGGTCGGATCCGATCTGCTGCTGGCATTGGTGCTGAGGTGCTGTTGTACTGGGGTGCCGAGGCGGCGAAGAAATTGCAGTTATGCTCTGATTTGTACCAGTTTTGACTTTCTTGTTTATAGCGCATTAATTCACAGAGATTGCTTTATTATTTATTTATTGTCAGTGTTTTCTTCGGGCCGCGAGTGAAATGCCCGGTCCATCGGTCCGATCGAAAGAGAGAAGAAAAAAACTGATTACAAATGCCATCCGAACATCGGGCAAACGATCGATCGTTGGGGCCACAGAATCGATATTTACGAGCATATTGCCATTGATAGAGATATCTCTCCATCCATTCCATTGGCATTGCGTGGAATGTCCAAAAAAAAAAAAAAAGAAAAAAGAAAGAAAAACAGCAAAGTTTTTTTTGGTGTCTCTGTTTGTTGTTTGTTGTTTCGTTGTTTGTTTGCTTTTCTTTGGTCATTTCACTTTCAAAATCATCTCACGACATCTCAACGCGTGGACAACGGCAACGGCGAACAGCAGCCACCGAAATCCACACCGTCATCGTGTTGGCTTTAACTTTCGGTTTTCGTTGGGTCTCCTCTAGACAGACATCCGCTTCCCGTGTGCAGCCAGAGATCCATTAAATTATGAACCAGATGTGAAACGGGAATGGAAAAAGCCCCAAAAGAAAACGAAAGAAAGTGACAACCGAAGTTCCCTCCCCCCTCCCCAAGAGAGTGTGGCGGGGGGGGAGGGCTTGTGCGTGGAGAGAGCCATCTTTCAGTGGGTTTTTGTCTTACGCAATGGGCCAAGCTCTGTCATGCTTTCAATTTGGTAAGCGGGCCCCCGCGACGCCACTCCGCTCCAGCAACCATTTAATTTCAAAATATTTAAGCTGTCATGTAATTTTCAACGCTTCGCGTCGCTTCTTTCAAAATGTCGTCGCACACAATTTGGGATTTTCTGCGGTTTCTGGCTGCGATTCCGATTGCATAACCCACATATCCAATTAAATGGCAAAAGTAAGCCAAGCTAACAAGCAGCAGCCCCAACACACTCGTAAATAGGAGGGCTTTCCGCAATCCTGGTAGCTGAGCCATAACCCACCCCAGTCTCAAATCGAAAGAAAGATCAATGTATGGCGTACAATTTTTGAAATGGGGAAAGAGCTGACGCCTAGGGGGTGGATGAGGATTACAGATCTATAATTTTCCAAATCATTTCCTTCCAGTTAGGAAAGCTCCGATCTCTTTTTTTACCTTCAACTAATCCTCAATATTTCTTTCCTTACAGCATCTGGCGGTGCATGGCGATGCCTCACACATCGAATCCGCCGCTTTGCCACTGGAACACAGAGCCGGCTATGGCCCGCCGGCGCCCATTTATGGCGCACCACAGGGGCCACTGAGCACTGGAGCCACCAATGACCTGTCCGAGGAGGCCTGGCCGCTGGCCAGCACCAACGACAGTCCCCAGATCAAGCACCTGCAGGTGCAGTGCGAGAAGACCCACATGCGGGTGAACATCGAGTTCGACCGTCCCTTCTACGGCATGATCTTCTCCAAGGGCTTCTACAGCGATCCGCATTGCGTGCACCTCAAGCCAGGCACTGGCCATCTGAGCGCCACCTTCGAGATCTTCCTCAACAGCTGCGGCATGACCAGCTCGGCCAACCATAATGCGGCTGGCTATGGTGCACCAACTCCCTCAGGCAGCTACGTAGAGAACACGATCATCATCCAGTACGATCCATATGTGCAGGAGGTGTGGGATCAGGCCCGCAAGCTGCGCTGCACCTGGTACGACTTTTACGAGAAGGCCGTGACCTTCAGGCCCTTCCAGGTGGACATGCTGCACGCGGTGACGGCTAATTTCTTGGGCGACAATCTCCAGTGCTGGATGCAGATCCAGGTGGGCAAGGGACCATGGGCCTCTGAGGTCTCTGGAATCGTAAAGATCGGTCAGACAATGACCATGGTGCTGGCCATCAAGGACGATGAGAACAAGTTCGACATGCTCGTCCGCAACTGCGTGGCCCACGACGGCAAGAGAGCCCCCATCCAGCTGGTGGACCAGAACGGCTGCGTTGTCCGGCCAAAGATCATGAGCAAGTTCCAGAAGATCAAGAACTTCGGCCCCTCCGCCTCTGTCGTCAGCTTCGCCTACTTCCAGGCCTTCAAGTTCCCTGACTCGATGAACGTCCACTTCCAGTGCGTTATCCAGGTGTGCCGCTACAACTGCCCCGAGCCCAAGTGCGGTCCCGGCCTTCCCGGCGGCGAGTACGGTCTGCCCCAGTTGGGCGGCAACGGTCTGTCGGAGGAGTATGGTCCTCCAGAGGCATACGAACGCAACGACTTTGCCCTGGGCGGTCTGCCCCCAGCAGCATATCCCGATCCTCGCCATCCCGCCTCCGATGCCACCGGCGCGTACTCCGAGAACCAGCCCGATGTGGTGCCCTCGCCCCAGGCCCAGACCTCCTCCGCTGTTCCCACAGCTGACTCTGCGGCAGGACCAGGATCTGGCCCAGCCAGCTCCCAGTCGCCCCAGCAGGCACAGGCCAACAGCAACGAGCTGGGACTACCTCCTCCGCCACTGCCCGGCCAGCCTGGACAGTACAGCACCGTGAAGCGCAAGGATGACCTCAGTGCCGGTGGCAATCTCGTGTCTCTGGGCGGACGCCCGCGATCAGTTGAGGGTCTCGATGACTTAAGGGGCGTGCGCCGACGTCGCGACACCATGGACATTGTGGTCAAGCCGCAGCGCATCTACAAACGCAATGCCCAGGAGATGACGGACGTGAACACGAGCCGCATCATTCAGGTGGTGGCTCCGGGCGACGTCAACTTTGCCCTCAACAGCAATGCCAGCAACGAGACGGTGGTGATCCAGTCAGCCCGTTCCGCCGATGCCGAGACCATCTGCATGTCGGTGCCTAGCTTCGTGGGTGGTCTGGTGATGCTGCTCCTCGTACTGGCCGTGGCCTCTCTAGTCGCCGCCTTCCTCTTTGTGCGCGTCCGCCACTTTGATCGCAAGGGCGCGGGCATGGCCTACGTCAACTAATGGAATCAGAATCAAAACCAGAATCGAATTGGGATTCAGAATCATCAGCATCAGCATCAGCATAAGCGACGACACGGCGTGAACAGAAAACCAAATCAGTTTTATGTGCACTAAATGGATTCACCCTCGTCATCCTCATCATCCCACTCCTCCACACTCTATTTATTTTTTTTTGGTTATTTATTGAGTTTCCCCCGACTCGAATGGTTTCTATATTTTACCACAGAATGCCCCTACACCTACAATGCTTAACTATCAATGGTTTCCTTAGTTATTAACGAATCGAACTTGAAACATACGGAATTGCGGCGTAATTTCGTGCATTGTCAGACTTGTTAAGTTTCAGTTATACAATTATATATAATAATGAAAGATATCTGGAACCAGATAAGGATAAGGCGTCAAATGTTACATATATATTATACATACATATACTATATCGTAATCGTTTATCGTAAAAGGCGGCAGACATGGAAAAGCAGAAAATCGTTTACAATAAGTTAATATAGCAGATGTATATATTAAATTATTTATTTATTACTTTATTTGATAGCTGCGAATGAATAAAAAGTTTACTTTTATTAACAATCATATCTTTTCGAGTGGGCTTTTGCGGTCTACTATTATTATCGCTGGCTGGCAGCCAAACAAATGCAATCCTTATCATTAGATGATGAAATGTTCTTAAGGTAGTATAATACCAATATTATCAGTTGGGGAAGCTTTTTTGCGAACATATCGATTCAGATCCCCCGGACCCCTCTCCTATAAGATCAACAAATCCAGCAAGATGTACGAAAATACATGTAAATTTATTAGTGAACACATATGTATTTACACATTTATCTACAGATCCCATTGAGCTTAACACTTTAAAAAAAAACAACAGTCGGCATAAATTGCCATCGAAACAATTTATGCACGCATCTATAATAGCGGCCTGAGCTTCGGAAGCCTGGAACGACAATATCCCAGGTTTCTTTCAATTATTTAATATATATCTAGCACTCAAATAGCAAACAAAAAGTGTAACAACTATGTCCTGGGTCTGGGATTTTGGGATTTACGCGGAGCGCGCATCGTTGATGGTGGACGGGACGTGCACTTCCAATCCATCCATGTCCTTCGAGAGGGTGATTTGGCATCCCAGACGCGAGGTGTCAGTCAGTTCGTAGGCCAGGTCCAGCATGTCGAGCTCCTCGTCGCCGGGCTTGTCGGGCAGCTTCTCGAAGTCGTTGGTCTTGAAGATCAGGTGGCACGTGGAGCAGGTCAGGGTGCCTTCGCAGGCGCCGAAACCATCGAGGTCCACGCTGTTGTTGACCACCACGTCAAGCAGGGAGTCGCCCACCTTGCCGGATGTCTTGATCTTGGTGCCATTGGCACGTACGAAGGTTACGTTAACGCTGGAACCAATAGATGTGATGTAGTAATTGTTTAAGTAAGGAAAGCCATTCATAAACACGGCGTTTACGGCACTCACACATCTTGCTGCTTCAGGGCCAGCCCCAGCGAGAAAGTGCGCGAGGCAATTGCGGAACTGATTGGAACGTTGTTTCTCAGCCAGGCGCTCCGCAGGGCCAGCCTCGCCGTGTTTCTGCAAGTGTTGATGACTAGCATGTTTGCACACACACACACACACGCGCCAAATTATTATTAATAACAAAAATTTTAAATTAAGGCACGGCGTACACGCAACAGCTGAATTGGTTCGCGACAGGTTCGGGACTGGTTCGCGACTTTTGACGTTTTGGACGAACTGAATAAGTTCACCTTAGCCCACTTAATGCACCACTAAAAGCCTCTTTTGAAAAAGCTCAAAAACTTGAGTTAAGCCGCGGAAATAATCACTGTTATTAAATTCTCCTTGTAGATCCATCCTTCCTCTTTACTTCCAAATTTTTTACACCGGCGAAAGACCAGCTGAACTGAACTAAAATTATTCAAGTTCATAATTATCATGCGTATACCCACTGGTCGACAATGGGTTATTCAATCTGTCCATGATCGGATATCATATTTTTCAATTACATATGTATCTCAATAATCTCAATTTCCCCCACTTAACCCAGGTGAAAAAATCGAGTAAAATCGCTGAAATATTGAATCAAAAATATCGACTTATCGATTCTTTATTTACCTTTTTCCAGCATGGCCGGGAGTGAAACTTCGTGTTTTTGGAATGATTTTCAATTAAAACGGCCGCCGCTGGTCACCTTGCAGGTGGAGGATACAGGATTCGGTAGGTTGATCAGTTTAGACGCGAGGACACATTACTAACACCTGTCTCCACAGCAAAGAACGTCTTTGTGCTCATCAATAGGTACATGCAACAATTGTCTGAGCCGGACACCGAGGAGTTTGATCATACGGCAGCACTGATCGGGCGTCTTATGGCTCGCCGTAAGAACTCCTTTAGAAATATGCCCGGTTTTCGGGTCCTATGCAAGCTGAACAGTGCGCTCTGTCGCCTGCTGCGTCTAGATCTGCCCCGAGAGCTGGAACACTTCCGCGGTGCCCTGCCTGATGTGTGCGACGGCGATATGGCAGGAGCCATGCCTACCCGTAGCAGCTTTGAGTATATTTTGGTGCGACTGCTGGGCTTCTATCATTTGCATGCACGCATCCACGAGTGCTGTGTGACAGCGGCCAGATATTTCACTCAACTACTGAGGAATACCTTCTTCATGGAGACCATTACATTGCTCATAGCAGCCATAGCAAAAATCAACAAACTAAGCACGATACAGGCCAACAGAAGTGCCGGTCTCTACAACAAGCTACGGCCCCACTGCGTCAAGTTTCCGCAGGTGGAAAGACACAAGTTTGTGCCCGAAAACTGCGAGTTGCCGGCCCAATTGCAACGAATTATTGCCACCACACAAAAGCAAACGGAAGATAATGCCAGTGCTCCTGCTGTGATGCTCAAGTCCCCTGCAGTGGTCACAAGGGTGGAAAAGGCCAAGCTGGAAGCCAAATCTGACGTGGGAACTGTGATTGCCCGCGACGAGCTACCGCTGGCACAAAATCCCAAGACTGAATTCAACGTGGACGCGCTGCGAAGTGTGGAGGATGCAAAGCGTTTCATTGCCCGCGAAACAAAGGCCAGAAAACAGAGTCCCGTTCCAAAGAGCTGCGTCACCAAGGCCATACCCAAGCACGAGTGGCTGGGAGCCCAAACGCTCTTCCACCGTACAGTTTCCAAGGATCCAGTAAAGTCGTTGAGCATATTTCGCAAGTTTATTATTAGTAAAATATAATAGAAAAAGCAAAAAATGTTTTCTTATAGACACGAGGCAATGCCGTCGGCCAACTGAAGGCGTTTCAGACTCAAAACTTGTTGATGTGGATGAGGATTGGTTTTCTGTGGAGGACAAATATGATGGTTAAACACATTGCTTTCTCTCAATCAACGTTACTTACCTTGACAAACTTTTTAAAGTTCTTTCGGCCGTTGTACTTGCTTACAGAATCGTCTGGTGCGGCGTCCACATCATCATGAGGGCGAGCGGTGATGTTCATGGCACACAGGCGCACTTGGATGCTGTCCTGAATGGAAGCCAGCCACTTTGTGTGAGCCTCATCAGCATCGGGGTCTTGCTTGATGGACTGCTCCAGATTGACTTCATCTCCGACTGGAGCTGCCTCCATGTTACCGCTTACATTCGGTTCCGGCTTAACTTCGTCATGTAGCCTGCTACATGATAGCCAGCCACTGATATCCACCTTACGGGGCAACCCTTTTGGTTGAACCACAACGTACTTGGATTTTGGTTTATCTATCACTTCGGGCCGGAAGGGCTCTGTTAGCACATCGTCCTGATTCTGATAATCTTCCTCGCTTTGATTTTGGGAATGGAAGTTGAATAGCCCATGGTTGGAGTCTTCATTTGCATGTTCCTCCGCCTTCTTCATTTTCTTCTTACTGTCTGAAAATTTGAACAATTGGTCGCCGTCATCGCTGTCGCTTTCGTTAATGAGGTCCAGGCGCAAACGCTTGCGGGGCTGCGTCTGGGACTGCGACCGCGACTGTGAAGGCTGAGGGGCTGTCTTTTGAGGCTGCGATTTTTCTAGAAAGTTTATGACTCTAATTCTTGCCGGCGGATTGGCGGTCTTTTCAGCTGAATTGGGTAGAACACTAGTCCCGGCAGGCTTCTGAGGTTGTTCCTTTTGCAAATTGTTCTTGAATTGAAAGAGCGGAAAATCATCCTCATCAGACTCAACGGCCACAGACAAAGTTGCCTTCGCTTGGTTCCGACTTGAACGTCTGGGAGATTCTGATTTTTTCTCTGGCTCCTTTTTGTTGTCCACATTTTCAGAGTTCTCTTTACCGCGTGTCGACTGCCTTGTGGCAGCTGTAGGCTTCGAGGAAATATTGTTTTCCTCATCCGAGGAGTTCACCAATACGACACGACTCTTTGGCCTAGCCCGAACCGTAGGTTTTTCTGTTTGTTCTTCATCAGAAGAATCAACCAATATGGCATTCCTGTTCCTTGGCTTTGGTTTCTCTGATGGCAATTCCATCGATCTTTTCTTTTTTGTTTTTTCTTGCTCCTCGTCCGAGGAGTCTACAATTATTTCACGACAACGCTTTTGTTGACTGCTCTTAGGTACTGTCGGTTCTGTTTCGGGCTTATCACTTTCCGGCTCCATTTTATAGACGTCCGACTCTGGCACTACCAGTTCGGAGACTGGACCAGCTGTGGACTCGCTACGCTCTGTATTCGCCACAAGAACGGAGCAATGAAATGACGAAGTCATAGACTCCGTAGTGGTCATCGAATCGCCAATGAGCTTGTGCGATGGATTGCAAAACTCTTTGGTCGAGCAGTGCAGCAGGGCCATACCGATTTCATACTCCTGGATAATCCGCAAACCGGACTGTTCCAAGATATCTGAAAGAATACGATCATTTATTTCTGTCTATGATGACTCGAGAAAACGTACCCTGGATGCTGTTGATGGTTTCTGTTGACTGGGACTGTGTTGATGGCACATATTGAATCACAACTACATCCTTCTTTGTGAGAAACGTTTTGCGCACTCCCGAATTGAGATCCTTACATGTGGCGCCTGCCTTTCTGACAACTGCACCGTAGATCTCAAAGTGCCTGCGGTTCATAAAGATGAACGTTTTGTCGGCGAACAAGGTGGTGCGCTCGGGACGCCAAGTTAAATCTAAGTTTGTGGGCTGGTAGTCTTTAGGCTGCGGCCATCCTTCACGCACGTGAATGCTTTTCGCTGCCGCCAGCAGTTTGCGCCAAAAGGCAAAAGTCACAATGGGTTTGTTCTCCAACAAGGCATGCAGTAGCTTCACGGTGACTGTGGCTTCGTTCATGGTCAGATACGAGCATTCGTCTGTCCAGTTTGGAACCACAGATCCGCCCATGGACCCAATGAGCTCCGTCAGCTCAAACACTTGGGCGTGCGTCAACGCAGAAGCAGTGGTCACCAGTTCCATCTGCCTTACCTGCCAAATGTTGGTGGTGGCGCCAAAGCGGACTCTAAAACCGACTGGCAGGGGCGTCAATGTGTTTGTGGCCATCTTCTTGTTTCTGGGAATGTCATTGTTGAGGAAGGTACCGTATTTCGAGCCCACATCTTCTATTTGAAGCTCCCCATCCTTCTCACTCGGCAGGTGCAGCCGCACATGAGTGCGACTGATGCTAAGGTCCTCGATCAGGATCAGATCGGTTGACAAGCGACCGACGGTGTAGACTGGCTTATTTGGCAATAACACAAACTTCTCATCTTCTGCAATTTACAATATGTTAGAAAAACAACAAAATGTTACGATTTTTACTTGCCTTTCGTTAAAAAAAACATAATTTATTGAAGCAAAATCACGAAATACAAAACAGGCCATCAGTGTTACCGTAAAAAACGAACTTAGCCCACTGAAACCATGTTTATTTAAACAGAATACGATAAGCCGCGGAAAAAAACACTAATAATAATAATCATTCTTGTAGTTCCATCCAACCCTTTAACTTTACTTAAAAAAAGACGACGATTCACCTAAGCTGCGCTAAAATTCTTTAAGTATCATCATTTTCGTGGAGAGTTTTTCCATACCAGTGGCTACAATGGGTTAATCGTTCCTGTCCATGATCGGAAATTATATTCCTCGACTTTGATATTCCATTTAATATTACTATCTAGCTAAGACGCTCAGATCTTAACACATACTTTTTTTCGATTGTTAAATCACTTTTCTACCTAATTGGCTAATCTGAAGTACTCTTTTTAATTAGATTGTGTCTAAAATAAGATTTAAACAAACAAGTTCAAAGCAAAAAACATCCCACCCAACAGCTGTCGATACTATCGCCTGGATTGTATACTTGAGCGCCTAAGTTTGAATGTGAATGATTGACAAGGATATAAGTGGAATCCATTTGAATAAATGATGCAGGGAAGCACGATTGGAAAGAGCCACAATTAAAAAAACCTGCGTATGAAAGGTTCTGTAAAATAAACCTTTAAAAATGAAATTTAATGGATTGATGAAATATACCATTTTGTAGCGAAACAAGATTCACTAATCGGATAAAATTATGTGGGCACGGCCAATGTTCTATATAGCTAGTAATATTCAACGGAATATCAAAAACGAGGAATATGTAATATAGAACTTGAATTCATCAGTATATTTACGGTATATTTTTAAAATGAGACGGTATATTTTGGTTTATTTCTGAGGGTCGGACGATAAATCCGCGGTCACATTGGTTCTCTGCCGGTTTGTTTGTGTTTGAAAAAAATTAAATATTGAATATAAATAATAATGAATTGCTTATAAGTGACTGCAAATAGTTGCAAAGATGTCGCACTTTAGTAGCACCCGCGTTAGCTCCTTCAACGAATGTTTCCTCAACGAGAACGAGCAGGATCCCAATGCCGTGCTCATGGAGCTCGACAAGGGCCTCCGGAGCGCTAAGCAGGGAATCCAATGCGAGTCCATTGTGCGGTTCCCGCGTCTCTTCGAGAAGTATCCATTTCCCATTCTGATCAACTCGTCGTTCATCAAGCTGGCGGAGTTCTTTGTGAGTGGCTCGAATCTATTGCGATTCTGGGTACTCCGTGTCTGCCAGCAGAGCGAAAACCACCTGGACAAGATCCTCAACATCGACAACTTTGTACGCCGCATCTTTATGGTGATGCACTCGAACGATCCTGTGGCACGCGCTCTGCTCTTGCGCACCCTGGGCGCCGTCTCCCGCGTGATCCCCGAGAAGCAACAAGTTCACCATGCTATACGCCGTGCCCTTGACAGCCACGACACCGTGGAGGTGGAGGCTGCCATCTATGCCAGCAGCTGCTTTGCCGCCCAGTCCAGCTCCTTCGCCATCAGCATGTGCGCCAAGATATCGGACATGATCGAGTCACTGCAGGTGCCAGTGCCCATGAAGCTGTTGCTCATCCCAGTGCTGCGGCACATGCATCACGATGCCAATACCGCCGCACTGGTCAACAAACTCTGTATGGATCTGCTGCCCAAGTATCCCGCGCAGAGTTTTGTGGTGGCCATTATCGATACCCTCACACAACTATCCTCCCGCACCTTGGTGGGCGTGCCCGGGCAGCTCGAGGTGCTGCTGGACTTTATGCAAGATTTGCGGACGCCGGTTCGCATCCAGGTGCTGCGCTCCTTCAACGAACTAGCCGGCAAGAAGAGTGTCCACGCTTGGCCCAAGCCTGCCCTTGAGGCTCTGATTAGTAAGTTTGAGACATGCATCAATTCGCACGAGCAGTTTCTCTTCCTTTCGATTCTCGTCAAGTTGAGCGAGTGTCCGCTCACGTGCCAACAGCTGCTGCGGGAGCATCGGGTCGCCCTGCTCCGACTCTGCATCCAGAGCATGAGCAAGCTGGACGACTATACGACGGCCACTCAGGCTATGGCGGTTCTCTCAGTTCTGGCGGCGTTCGGCACTGAGCAGGAGAGCCAAGTGGATGATATCCTGCATACTGTAAGTCTTCACATCGAAGGCCTGCTCCTGTGCACGGCCAGGAGAGCCGACTGTCTACGTCACTTGCAACGTGTGCTGGCATATGGCATAAGGATTAGCCAGGCGAATGCCGAATTTGGAGCGACATTCATTGAGATAGTCAGCAATACCCTGGGGGACAATGTCGTCTATCCCCAAGCCAATGCGGAGCTCATATGCGAGGCTCTGGTGCGTCTCTGCGAGCATTTCCAGCTCCGTAAATATGCATTTACAACATCCGAGGGACTGGAGGAAGGTGACGACAATGCCATGGACACCGACGAACCGTCGCCAACAAAGGTAGAAGTATTGCAGGAAATGTATGAAGAGCATTCACTAATTCTATCCACTTTTAGGTTAATCCCATGCTAGCCAGAATGCCGATTATTTTGTACAAACTGAACAAGCTGATCGACTCGGAGGATGCTGAGAAACACTTGCGCACGATTGAAATCCTCAGTGTCCTGGTATTTCAGACCACAATGGGGTGCTATCTGCCCCTGAAGGTGGTGCAATGCTTCGAGAAGTGCCTGGATAAGCTCAATTGTTGGACATTGTACAAGATTGCACGAAGCGCCAGTCGTTATGGGCATCACTATGTGGCCGCGCACATTTACACAAGCATTTCAGAGATCGTGATAAACGACCAAATGCACTACTTCCTCGTCACGCTCTCGCAGATCTCGCAGGCAGAGTGTATCCTAAATTATGGCCTGGACTACGCCCACATGAGGGACAACTATGCTCCGACGGCGGCGCCAGAGCCGTTGATACCGCTGATGAAACGGCTGGAGGCAGCCTGCAACCTCTACCAGATGGCGCGAGTCAGTCTGCGAGCCTGCTCCTCGATCCAGTATGCGATCTCCTTTCCGCAGGAGTACCTCAAGATCCGAGCACAGTTCCTGCAGACCCTGCACTTGGCCGTGACCGTAAAGAATGCCCAGGTCATTGTACCACCGCCGGCAATTGCTGGCAGCTTGGCCCAGAACTCGAGGGACTATTTGCAAAAGTTTGGACACGTCACAAATCAGCTGCGAAAGTTGGTAAAGTCCTTGAAGGCCTGCGAGGAGACGCATGCCCGTCTCTATAAGTCGTCTTTTGATGCGGACAACGTGACGCTGGAGTTCTTGGAAGTGGCAGAGTTTCAGTGTGGACTCCTTGCCCACATCATCGAGTCAATTTGTTACGCCACGCCACCAGAGCCACCAGTCTTCCTGACCACCGGCGAGCACCCGGAGACCCGATTTTTTGCCGCCAGCTGCAGGCGCATGGAGCTGATGCATAAGAACCTCCCCGAGGAGTTGCCCAACGCCAAGACCATCAGCAACCGCCATCTGGACGTGATTGTTGCTCAAATCGAGATAATTACCAAAACACCGCTCTGCCTGCCGCGCTATTTCTTCCAGATTCTCCAGTCTACGCAGATAAAACTGTCGGTTAGCCCACAGCCACGTAGTGCCACCGAACCCGTCAACGTTCAGTCGGGCAGTAATCTGGTGATTAAGGTCGAGGGAGTCCTGCAACAGGCTGGCTCAAAACAGGTCAAGCACTTCCGGCGTGTGGAGTCCGTGCAGTTGAGCCTTACGTCCCAGCTGGTAACGCCGCCACCACGTTCCGGTAGCGAGCTGCAGAAGACCGGCACAAGTGATACCGTCACCCTGAACCAGATCGTCAAGCCGCAACGCGACTTTCTCTCCGGCAGCTTTCTGCTGCCCATATCGAGCGGTGGTCACTTCCAGGTGACGCTGGAAACGTTCGTTGTCGATGAGCACGGCACTATTTGGTGCACTGGCCCCAAATCTTCCATGATGGTACGTGTCCTGGAGGATCCCTCAAAACCTACAGCACCAACGCCTAGCACTTCTCAGGCAGTAGGTCAGGCGAGAAGGTTTTAGATGTACAGTTTTACAATTTGGTTAAAATGTTTGTTATAATTAAAAGCTTAATGCTTTAAGTGCTCTATCAGATTGAAAATAATTTTCAACGTATTTATTTAAAAAATGCTGTCTCCGACAGACCTTGCTAGGCGCGCAACTTTTAAAATAACCAAAGCAAGTGCTGTTGAACTGTGAATACAGTAAGAGCTTGCGTTGGAATCCCATAAGTTAAGGGGATAAAGATAAAGGATAGGGTGGACCTACAAGAGTAATTATTATTATTATAATTGGTATTATTTTCGGCGGTTTAACTCAAGTTGTTATCCAGATTAAACAAAGGGGTTTTAGGTGGGCTAAGTTCGGTTTTGCATCATACGAGACGCTATATTGTTGTTGAGGAACCAAAACTGAGGCAAAAAAATCAAAGTAAGTATATAAATTAAGCCAGTCAAGTAGAAAATAGATTCATTAATTATATAAAATTATGTGGGCAGGGCTGAGAGATCTAGATAGCTAGTAATCTTCAACGGATTATCAAAATCGAGGAATATGTATAATAGAACTTAAATTCTTCAGTATATTTACGGTATATTTTTAAAATACGGTGGTATATTTCTGCGGGTCGGACCGTATATTTATTTATAAGTCCGCGGTCACACTGCTGTTTTGTTTTTGTTAATTCTTTTTGTCGAATAAAATATACGAAATGGAGCATTTCTTCAGGATATGCGGCATTTGACAAGGCAGACACCAGCAGCGGCATGCCACAGAAGCGCATCAGAACGATTTGGTTATCTTTATAACGGAGATTCAGATGGTTGCCAGCAAGCAATAGAATCGGCAGAGAGCAAGTGGTTCAGTTCCCCCCGAAGACGAATGTAAATTTTAATTAAAATCAATTAGGCGCACACCCAAAAACACGCACCAATCCAATCCATCCGTATGCCTCTTTAGAGAGCTCCCATATAGCACAAAACTCTACGTTGGACGAAATTCCGCGCTTAACCTGTTCAGTCGGTGGTCGTGGTCGTGACGGTGGTGCAACCAATGGACATAATTGGTCTAATTGGACAGAGCAGCAGCAGCATCGGAGCACCCCCAGTTACAATAGGATGGCACAATTTACACTGTGAGTATAAGTATGGATGACGGTGCACAGTAACATCGGTGCCGTCCCTAAATGGGGTCGCTTTACGCAGCCCATAGCCGACAGCGCAAGAATCAGATTACTTTGGTGTTGTTGCGCTCTGTGGCGGCACGGCTTCCGTCGAATGGAGCTTTGTTTATCTATTGACGGGACGCCGCACCGCACCACCACTCGTCGCAGTATTATGCAAGTGAAATCGACGACCCGACCGTCTACTCAGCACTAATACATATATCATAAAATGAAAACCATTTTTTTTTTGTGGTTTTTGGCATTTGAAACGGGGCTCGATCAGCTACAACAAACATAATGCGCCGCCCAGCAACGACATTACACGCGTCGACTGCGATCATGTGCCCCTATGCTCCGCCAACGACGTACAGCTAAGATTCCTGGTGCCCGATGACCTGACTGAGGTGAGTTGCCAAAGTGTTTGCAAAATTTTCGAATCCAATCTTTCCATTGAGTCTGACTTAAAGAATGATAATCCTTCTGTGTTACCGATCCATCCCGCTCCCGCTGGGCGTTGCAGGTGCGGCAACTATGCCAAGAATGGTTTCCAATCGACTATCCACTCTCATGGTATGAGGATATTACCTCAAGCACGCGCTTCTTTGCGCTGGCAGCTGTATATAATCTGGCCATAATTGGTTTAATTGTTGCCGAAATCAAACCGTATCGAAATGTCAATAAGGAGGTAATAGCCAATATGAGTGATAGTGATGAATTGTACACCAGGCTGAGCGGTTTTCCAATGCAGGACAAGGGCATATTGCCCGACTCGATGGGTCGGACCGCGGACGTGGGCTACATTTTGTCCCTGGGCGTGCATCGGTCGCATCGACGCAATGGGATTGGCTCGCTGCTGCTGGATGCCCTAATGAACCACCTGACGACGGTCGAACGGCACTCGGTGAAGGCAATCTTCCTGCACACGCTGACCACTAACCAACCTGCCATATTTTTCTATGAAAAGCGAAGGTAGGTAGAGCAGAGCTGTCGTGTGCGTGTTCTCCGCTTATTAACGCCTTGCCCTATTTTAGATTCACGCTACACTCGTTCCTGCCCTACTACTACAACATACGGGGCAAGGGCAAGGACGGCTTCACCTACGTGAACTACATAAACGGAGGCCATCCACCTTGGACACTACTATATCCTTTTTCAAAATGCTTTTACTGTATTGCTTGTTTGATTTTTATGTTTATGGTTTCCCTCTACTTTTGGTTGCCCTCTTAACTCTTGCCGCACAGATCACATCAAGCACTACGCCACCAAGGTGCGTCACACCAGCACCCTCTGTGTGTGGATGGCTTCCCGTGTGCAGCAGGTGGTGCGTTGGTTCTACCACAAGCTGCTGATGCGATTTAACTTCATTGAATGAGGCAAGACAGGACCAAGGACTGACTGCAACGCGACTGGACAACCACAAAAGGCATTCTTCCGCGTCACAAACAAAACAAACACTTTCAATTCTAATTCTGCGTCAGCATAATCGGGCATAGCATTCATTATGTTATGTCATTCTGCTGAGCATGTTGAGCATATATACACATATATAATTGCACACAATCGCACACACCCACACACACACACACACCGCCCCCATACAATACAATACACCTTCATTATAAATGTTAGGCAATATGCAGGTATGCAGATCATTTCGTTTTTATACAAAATAGAATAACAAAAAAGAGAGAAGAACTAAAAAACAACTAGAGAAAGGAGCATAAGTTGAAAGATGTAAAGATAATTTTATATGTGTATTATTACGTTTTAAATGATATTTGTTCAATGCTGTAAATAGTCTTATAATGTTTAAATGCTGCTGTAACCGTTTGCCCATGGCGCGCAAGTGATTTTGATACTTTCTGTTTTGGACATATTCCATATACTATTTAATGTGTGTATGTATGTTTCTTTGTACGTTTTACTATTATTTTTTTTTATTTTTGGTTAGTTCCACGCACAAGACAGTCATTTAGTTTAGCGAAAACCAACAACAAAGATGCTCATGCTTTAATGCTTAAATTATGGAATCTGCACGAAAATAGCTTTGAACTGAGAACGAGAAGCGAATACTTTATATGTAGCATCCAATCATAAAACAACCCAACAACAACACAAAACCTATCAAAACTCTGTTCGCTGTTTCTATAGTATTTTGTAAAAGTATTTTAATGCAACTTGTTTCGCAGCTAATACATATTATTTTAGGCACAATTTATTTAGCAAATTGTAATATTTTTAAATAAAAACTTGTAAAGTTATGAAATGAAAAATTTGTTCTGAAGAAAATGTATTTACATATATAAATGAATGCATATTTGAATCACCCGCGTGCAGCAGCAGTGATGTAAAACAAGTGCCGTGGGTTTTAAAATACACTCCAAGATAACTTGGTAACTTATAAGGAAAGAGAAAGAATATATATGTACACAAGGAGCATTTTCATGCAGTAGTATTTTCCGCGGCTTAAATCAAGTTGTTCGCTTGTTTAAATAGAGGAGGTTTAAGTGGGCTAAGCTCTTTTTTTTGCACCGGTACATTTCGAAAATTGTAGGGTATATATCTGACCTTATATGTGAATGACAATGTCCAAACTTGTAATACATTTCCCATTCAGGTGTCGCTTTCGATAACTACATACCAATGTAGTTAGAATGTACCGAATGTGTAGTTATTGTGTAGTTTTTCACACTGGCGCTTCCATGGGGCTTGTCAACGTACACATTTCCCATTCAGGTGTCGCTTTTGATGTTTACATACAAATGTAGTTAGAATGTAGCTAATGTGTAGTTACTATGTAATAAAAAAATACTTTTCTCCATATTGGTGTTGATCTTTTTTGCTTAAACCTTATTTTATGAGCAATCCAAAAATGATGAGTTCTTAAAATTAACTATCCGTGTATAAAATTGATTAGATTATCGGTTAAAACTATATTTTCATGGTTGAGATCCTAGCTAGCTAGTAATATAGAACGAAATCTCTAAATTGAGCAATATGAACGACTATCCTCTTTCGTTTGTTTTGTTTGACCTATTTCGCTACAAACTGTTTTTTTGGTTTGACCTATTCTGCTGAAACCTTTTTTAGACAAGATCCAATTGAAGTAAGTGTTTAAAATAAACCATTCAAGTAAAAAATAGATTCATTTATTGGATAAAATTATGTGGGCAGGGCTGAGAGATCTATATAGCAAGTAATATTCGAAGGAATATCAAAAACGAGGAATTCGTACAACAGAACTAGAATTCGTCGGTATATTTACGGTATATTTTTTAAATGAGACCGTATATATTTATCAAAAAATCTGCTGTTACACTGCCCAGCTAAACTACATATGTTCAATAGAACTTGAATTCGTCAGTATATTTACGGTATATTTTTAAAATGAGACCGTATATTTCGATATATTTCTGAGGGGCAGACCGTATTTCATATCGAAAAATCTGCTGTCACACTGCTTAGCTAAACTGTCACACACAACCAATCGTCTGATCGGGATATTTTAATTCGAAAACAGAATTGAAAAAATGTTCTCCAGAGCTGCCCTACTTACAGGTAAACTCCAAATATAGTGCAGAATACCACAAACCCCGCGACATAGTATAGTTTAATTGGTGTGTACATAACAAGCCGCTGCACGCGACCGTGAAAATTGTTACGGCACTGCAAAAACGACGGACATCGTGGTTTATGTAATCACCCTCGCAGTGCAAACGTAGAATTATGTATAGTTTTCGCAAACATTCTAGGATGTGGTTATCAATAACTTATTATATGAAAATACTAATTGGTGTCAATCGTCTTGCAGCCCAGCGCCCATTGGCCGTGGCCGTCACCCGGTCGGCTGCTGCCGCCGCTGGTCAGTCTGGCAGCGGATCCATCGAGCGCCGCCAGCGCCCCGAACATCCCGGCAAGGTGCGACTGGGCTTCGTGCCAGAGGAATGGTTCCAGTTCTTCTACAACAAGACCGGTGTCACGGGTCCCTACACATTCGGCGTGGGTCTGATCACCTACCTGTGCTCCAAGGAAATCTACGTCATGGAGCACGAATACTACAGCGGCCTGTCGCTGGGCATCATGGCCGTTATTGCTGTGAAGAAACTTGGCCCAGTGATTGCCAAGTGGGCTGATGGTGAGATCGATGTAAGTTCAGACAATTAAACGTCCAACTCGGGTCAGGATCACTAATCAATAATTCACTGTAGAAAATCGAAAGCGAGTGGAAGGAGGGCCGCGAGGCCGAGCTCAAAGTTCTTTCCGATGCCATCGAGGCCGAGAAAAAGGAGCAATGGCGCGCTGATGGTGCCTTGCTCCTGATGGATGCCAAGAAGGAGAACATTGCATTGCAGTTGGAGGCCGCCTTCCGCGAGCGCGCCATGAACGTCTACTCCGAGGTCAAGCGTCGCTTGGACTACCAGGTGGAGTGCCGTCACGTTGAGCGTCGCCTTAACCAGAAACACATGGTTAACTGGATTACCACCAATGTGCTGGCCAGCATCTCGCCCCAGCAGGAGAAGGAGACTCTCAACAAGTGCATTGCCGATCTGAGCGCCCTGGCCCTGCGCGTCAAGACCGCTTAAACGACTCGAGTTTTAGTTGCTAATTTGTACATTTAAACAAAGTCGATCGCCGGAAACACACATTACAATGCCCGAACAATGATACATATATCTATTACACGCAATACATCCACTGTGTCTGAAAACATTCTTAATGAAATTGTCGTTTAGTTCAAGAAATGGATGCTGTTTAAAATTAATATCTTTTTTTTCTGTGAATATGTAAGCATGTGTAAGCACATGTGTACGCAATGTTGCGCTTATGTTTGGTATCAGTCTACTGCTGCACTGGCATCGTCTTCATCGAAGGCATCTGTGTCCTCCTGCTCCACCTCGAAATCGGCGTGAATCTTCTGGCGGCGTGCGGCCTGCAAATTCTGGATACAGTAATCCACCGCCGTGACGACGCAGAGAGGACGCTCTCCCTTGTAGTAGCCAGTGTTCTCCCGCAAATACGTCACCCTCTTGGAAGTCAGCCACTGTTGGAGCTCCACAAAGCAGGTGCACTGCCAGGGATTCCCCTCGATCGCAATGCGATTCAGACTGGGAAAGGTGTCGTTCAAAGCAACCAGAAAAGTGAGTTTGTTGTTGTCGATAAGTAGCTCCATGACGCTGCTCAGGCAGTCCATTACATCGGGGCCGATCTCTTCCAGCAAATTGTGACCCAGATGGAGTTTCTGCAGATGCCGCATGGGTGCAAACATGCGCACGTCCAGGGATCGCAGCTCATTGTGGCCCAGCGACAGGTACTCCAGGAAGGGTAGCGAGGACAAGGCCAGCGGATGCAGGCGCTTCAGACGATTGGCGTTCAGGTTGAGCTTGCGCAATCGCGTCAATGTGTTGCCCCCAAAGGCCTGCTCCTCGAAGTACTCCAGGCTGTTGCGCGACAGATCCAAAGTGTCCAGGTTGGCCAATGCCGCAAATGCTCCTGGCTTGATCTCCAGTATATCGTTGGACTGCAGATACAGCTTGCGCAGTGATCCAAGACCCACAAAGTGGCCGCTGCTCAGGCTGGCAATGCTATTCCTGGACAAATCCAACGCCTGCAGTCGAGGCAACACCCTGAATTGGTTGTCAAAGAGCAGTCGTATGTGGTTCCCAGCCAGATCCAGCTGCTGCAGATTCAGCACAAAGTTTTGGGCGGCTCCGAAGACACTGGGACGCAGGGCATCGAGTGCATTGTGCGAAAGGTTCAGCACTCGCAGCTGGTTGAGCGGCAGAAACGTTTCCTGGGCAATACAGGTCAATCGGTTGCCACTGAGCTGCAGCTCCAGCAGACCATGCAGACCACGAAAAGCACTTACATCCAACTAGAAAGAAGAGTTAATTCAGACAGCATGACTTGGGATCGAGTGTTAGTAATATGGTTTTCTCAGAATCCCCTGTTATAGCTTTCCTCCCTCAAAAAGTAAGGGTAGATCCCCTCTCCAGGCCAAGGGCCAACATGGGTAATTGACTAGATCAAATCCCACAGCTAAATACACAAATGATTGTCGGATACGTTCGATTCGATGAGCAAACCCACCAGATTCTGCTGACTCACCTGTGCCAGGCGATTTTCGTGGAGCAACAGCTGCTGCAGTTGGGGGCAGACACCGAAGCTGACATTAACCAGTCGATTGTGGCTAAGATCCAGACGATTGAGCAGCGGTAAGTGGGGCAGCTCGCAGCCGGTGAGGGCATTGTGTGAGAAATTGGCATAAATCAATTTGCGCAGATTGCCGAGGACGTCCTTTGTGAGCAGCTCCAGGCGGTTGTGGCTGGCATCGAGGTGCTGCAGCGCTGACTCAACCGCAAAGTGGCTGCCATGGAGCTCGCCCAGACCGCTGCCGCTGATGTTTAAGTGCCGCAGATTGGGCAAAAGGGAGAAGCCCTGGGTGTGTAGATTCAGTTGTTGGACTGCAGATAGATCCAACTCGACCAGATTGGCCAAATACTCGACGCTTGTGTCTGCAGGGGAAGCGGTGAGATGTTTGTGTGTGCGGGTCTACTAGTCATCGTGAATCGCTTACCTGAGTCTAGGGCCAGTTCTGTGCGTTCATTTCTCACCGCCAATGAATGCCAGTTTTCGGCCCCCACATCAGACAGATCCTGCAGACTGGCTAATTCACGACACTCGAAGCTGCGCCAGGCCAGAGTCCGGCAGGGAAGAGCCCCGACCTGGGGGAAGCCCCTGCAGCAGAGCCACAGAGCGGACAAAACCCAATTGGCATTCACCAACATTCCTGCTCCACAGTTTGGCCACAACTGAAACCTCATTCAAGCGATGATAAGAACAACCGCAGAATGCAAATGGGAATGCAAATCCAGTTTACCCAGAGACAGAGTTCGGGGAGAGTCAAAGCCGGTTTGGCGCGTCACCGGCCCAGGGGCCGGACACTCCACAGCTGAGTGCCGCCTGCTGAGGATGAGGATGAAAACCACACTATGTTTTGTTTATCTTTCTCTATTGATAGGTACTCTCTATAACTTTTTAATAGGCTTAGCAAGTGGTTTACATACAGTACGGTACGAGTATACAATATTGGGTTTACATAATACGTTTTTGGATAATTACTTTACGATTATGTTATATTATATTATTGTGCTCTTGTAGGAAAAACAAAAACAAAAAAAATTGATTGTGTGAGTGTGTATTTTCTTTCCATTTTTGCTGCCGCATGCTGCGAGTGGTAATCATTAGGTCATAGTACATATAATACAAAATACAAGGAAGTTAAACCAGGAAAAACTCTCTAACTTAGACTAAAACTTAGGCAACAAAATTAACAATAAGAAGTTGGTATCTATGTACTTCAATATCTGTTTAGGAGTATAAATCTATTATAATATATAGGTAAATATGTATTAAAAAAAAATATATGTATATATATATAGATTTGTAAGGTATATATTCCACTAATCGCACAGGTTTCTGTTTCTATATTTGTGCTTATAATCGTCTCGTTTAACTGGAGGCCAAGATTGGAAGTCAAAAACTAAGCCAGAATATCGATCTTAGTTTATATTGAAGCAAAGGATATACATGCTACATATATATGGTTAATATTCAAGTATATTTCGGTGTATCCAAACTGCATTTCTAACTGCACTTCCAGATCGTTTTCCATTTATAAAACCCAACTATGGTAAGAATCAAGAATCATCATCGTCATTCACTAATTATTATATGTATATTGTATAAGGTTTCTTTATGTTTGGAGCTGTTTAATCTTAAGACTTGCTTGCGTCGGCAAAATAATTTTTTTTTTGGGGGGCGGGGAGATATTCGGGGCGATCGGAGTCCGAAGAAACTGGTATCTAAATCAGACTATAGTTACGGTTGGGCTTGTCATCTTGTTGCTGTTGTACAACGGCTGATAGTGTGCACTCGCCCCGTGGTGTCCGTTGCTGGTCTTCATTTTGGCGCTCTGGCAGCTGCCATTCGGATACCGCATCTTTACCCCGTTCTGTGCATGGAGATGGCTCTGCGCGGCAACGGATCCGGGCAACGATAGCGATGACTTGCTGCTGCCATTCTGCAGGGGCAACGGATCCCCGATCAGCGTTATTCGAACGGGCTTGTAGGTGTTGGCATTGCGGGTGGCCGCCTCCGCCGTGTCCCAACCGATGGAAGCGCGTCGCGGCGTGCCCGGATAAGAGGCAGCTGCAGCCAGCTGCTGGTTGTAGTTGGTCAGCGTCGTGGAGATGATGGTGTGGCGGCGGGTCTGGCTCAGGGTCGGACACTGGCTAGTGCCGGCGCCCGTGGCCGTGGGCGCGGACGTGGGCTGCTCCTTCTCCTGGTGGTGGTTCTGGTGATGGCGAATGATGGTGGTGGCGGCCAGCGTGGAGTCGTGCAAGTGGAGCATCGGAAAGTGTGTGGTATAACTGGTATATTCGGGCTTACTTCTGCGAACAGAGAGGGCAGGATTAGTGTGCTGTTTCCACATGATACGTTGGTTTTATTGAAGGAAATTCTTTGTTTTGGATATGCCACAAGAGCTGTCTACGGAACGAAGAGAAGAGTGGATGCCAGTCGGAAATGTGTTGGAGTTGGACTTGCGAGAATGTCTTCAATCTGCTTTGGAATGCCTTGAGTGGCTGAAACTCCCCAGGTTCTTCATTCATGATTGATCTGGTACTTCCGACTGCCATCCCTCCTCGTCTCTTCGAAGTTTTTGGTTAGTTGCTGGTTTGCTTTACCTTGGGACTCTATTTAATTGCCGCATGCAATTACAATTTTTCACAAACAGTGTTAAATTTTCAGTGACAATTAGTAACGATTGCTTAGAACACTAGCTAGGGGCTATCTTTTGTGTATACTTTTCGTATATCTATCTTAGATCTTAGATTAAAGCTTAGATTTCACTTCTTAGTTTTTCTCTTAGTTAGGGTTTGATTAGTTAATGCTTTGGATGATTAGATCAAGTGCATGAATTACAATTGTCCAGACAGTTGTAGCTTAGGTGTAGGATACATAACAGATTGATGGCACTGAGCACAATGATGGCTAGTATGAAATCACAAAATAATACCTGTGGCTCCCCAAATTGTAGTCTATATATATATATTTATTGCGGTTGAGATAGAGTGTGGAAAGTGGTTAGATATGTAAGTGTTTTTTGTTTTTGTTTTGGGGGGGGTGTGTGTATTCCATGGGAGGCATTACAAAAGAGAGAGAGAGAGAGAGAGAGATGCACATTGGTTAATCATGGGGTAAGGCTTTGCGAATAGGGTCTAAAGTGGGTCTATTGTTAGTTAATTGCAAAATGGAAAATTCCACCTCCTGCTGCTGTTGCAGCTTCGGCTTTGGCTACTGCTGGCTGAATCCAGTCTAATTAGACTGCTCCAATTGCAATTTGTTGCCATTAACGTCAACAGCCGGCAGCCGGAAAGTGGCCAAACTGATTTGCATGCCACCAACGGACCATGAAGCTGAAGCTGAAGCCGAAGCCGAAACCGAGACTCCAAGCCACCATTAAAGCAGCAGCAGCCTGCAGACAGCAGCAGCCGGCATCGTTTTGTATTAGTTTTGTTAAGCTGCGGCCCCTGCCCCAGCTGCGGCTTTTGTGGTCTGATGAAAGGCCCCAAATATGACGAAAAAAATTACAAAAATACCAAAATATACAACCGAAAATTGAAAATTGAAAATGGGAAATTCAAAAGATACAAAGATAGAAAGATAGAAAACATGAATTGTCTTGGGCCTACCTGGACAAACCCTCCGCACCAATGGCAAGTGGTCGTGTCTGTGAAAGTGGAATCGGAATTGAAATAGAAATATTCGACAGCTTTCGGTTAGTCAATTGTTTTTGTTGTGCAACACACATATCATTGTTAGGTATCTATAAGTACATGGAGGGGAGATCTGCTTACCCGCTCCGTCTGGGTGGCCATGCTGATGAGCTCCTTGCTGGCATCGCCGCCGTAGCCGCAGCCGCTGCCAGTGCCGCCGGCCTGTTGCCTCTTCTCGGCCTCCAGTTGCTCGATGAGATCGCGCTGCAGGCGTATAGTGCGATCACGATCATCGACTTGACCCTGCCACACATTAGACAACAGGCAGAGAGGAATATAAAGAGAGAGAGAGAGAGGGAGAGAGATACGTAAATGTCAGTTCGGTCTTGTGGAGCGAGGCATAAAAGGTCACTAGCAGATACAAGATATTGTATTTATAACTAAGCCAGAGAGTGTGTAAAAATCATATCTATACGAGTATAAATTGCTAGGCATATCTTGGCTTCTTTTTTGGACAGTCATGCTTTGATTGTTCCATTGTTTTGTGTGTGTATTACTTATGTACTGCATATGTACATATGTATGCCACAGTCAGTCAATCAAAGCATGTCTATCAATCACAACAACAGCTAAAGACAACTCCGTAAACTTTCAACTGAATGACTGTACTATGTCTCCGAGTGTGTTCTGAGTTTCAAAATCAAGGTGCAGAATAGCATATAGGTAGGTACATACATCTATATAGTATATAAGATAATAGATTTACAAATAAGCAAAGAGATAGTAGTATATTAGGTATTCCTTCTGGATTTTTCATAGTATGTATTTTACATGCCACATGGAGGATAGATAGTTTCCATGTATCTAATAAACATTAAAGAACAACAGCAATAGAGAATACAATACAATAGTATGAGAGTGTCCTGCTTTCGAATCGATTTGGTTTGGTATTGTTTGGTTTTGTGGCGGTCCAGAGCTTATCGGGCGAACGAAATGCAAAAAACGTGCAAATACCTGAAGGTAAACCACCTGTCTACGTAGATCCGATAGTTCCTGCAAGGGATCCTCCGTCGTGGACGAGGTCAAACTGGCCAGATCGATGTCATTCAGCTGCTTGCTGTCCAGTCCGCAGGCGGCAAACAATTGTAGATTGTCGTTCTCGAATGGATTGAGGGTTTCCGTCTGCAAAAGAAATGTCCAACAGGGTCACTGAAGTATTCCGCATACCATTATAGGGCTGCCTAAAAAAGTCTCCGAACGAAATGAAAATAAAAACGTACCCCTTTCAAATCAAACTCAGTGTCCTAAGAATTGTGCAAGTGATTGGAGTGTTTTGTGGTTGATTGTTGGGAATGGATTGGTGCCATGGATGAAATGGAAACGAAATCATAAACAGCTCTACAAGGAAATTGATGCACTGCCCTGCCCTGCACTCACCTCCTGAAGGATGCGCCGCAGTCGCAGCAGCTGCTTCTTGAACTGCAGCACATCCTGGATCATGGCATTCCGGAAGGACTTGTCATACAACATCAGGTCGTCCGATGAGCTGTGCAGCTCGCCGCTTCCCAGCCCGCGCACTCGTCGTAGGCCACCCGAGGCGGTGCCACCTGGCTGCTGCTGCTGCTGCTGCTGCTGCCTCTGCGGCTGGCGCTGGCGCGGCAGACTGGACGTGGACGAGGCCGTCGAGGCGCGTGAATTAGCCGTGCTCCGCTTGCGCTGGACCGCTGCTGCAGCTCCTCCGCTGTGGGTGGACCTCAGGCTGTTGTCCGAATCGTGGCCCGTCAGCTGCTGGTCCTGGAGCCTGGAGCGGTTGAGCAGCCGTGTGGCACGGGCGGGCAGTTGGGCGCTGCAAAGATGAACAGGCATAGGTAAGGGATGAGTAAGATGGGTAAGTCCTTGATTTGAGAGGCTAGGGAGTGGTGCTCCTGAGTCATGCCACCACCTGAGGTACGTTTCGTTCGCCTGCGGCGCACTGCTTGCCACAAACGAGGCCGCACAGTGATAATGGTGATGACGATGCTGGTGGCTCTTGATGGCCATGGGTGAGGTTTTTCGGGCTGGTCTGCCCTGCGGCCCCGAGAGGAATACATTCTCCGATGTCTTCAGATCGGTGCGGACGCGTCGCACTCCCTGGGGCGATGATTTGCTGGCCTTATTATCCGTAGTATCCGCCACCTCGGACATACTCGTATTCCACAAATCGAATTTCTGTTTCTAGCTGGCATTCAGGGCCTTCATCATGTTCTCCTGTGCTGTGTTGTGTTGTGTTTGTTCTGCGGCAAATGACACAATCGGGTCATGCGCAGACCGGCCCCCAACAGCTGTCTGTGGAGACTTTGTCGAGTTATGGTTACTACACCACCCCTGGAGGTGACCGGGGACTGGGGTTGGGTGTTGGCTCACTCATTTAATTATTTAGCGCAGTGCCAATTAACGTGGCCGCAATGAAAGTGAATGCCATTGATTAGGGCCCAGTTGCAGTGGCACGGCACCTGGCAGTACTGGCAGTTGTCAATGGCCCATTAAGATACCTCTGGCTTGGGGCACGACATGAATGCTGCTGGAAATAAATCCACACAAGAGAGCTCCCTCTGCAGCTCTCCAGCTCCACAGCTCTGGTGGTGGATAGTGAAAGTCTCGAGGCGGCAACTGTTGCGTGCTGCAGCGGCACTTGGAGATGGATGATGGTGGCTGCTGGTGGCCGATGGACGGGGGAGGAGGGAGGGCTCTCTTACACATGCGCGCGATGTTCAAAAATTTCACGGCATAATTTATACAAACTGTTGAAAAACGTACAGCTATTAATGCCCCCCAAAACGCCATTCATTCAATGGGTTTGTTAGCCCATTCGATTCTCCACGGCTTGAATCATTCACTCCAAAAACCCGACCCAGACCCTGACCAAAGGTTAATGGGCTTTGTCTTAATATTCGTAGTTATAATGATATTTCGGTTGGAGTAGAGTACGATACCTATATCCATATCCAATGCCATTACGAGAATGGAATTAATTCGAGCATCTCACGAATGACTTTCCCAAGAAAAAACCAATTAGAGGAAAGCAAAAGTACTTTGAGGCACAAAAACAAAAACAAAAACTGGAACAGCCATCATTTTGAAACCTTTGGAATTTGCAAACTGTTTTGTTTATTGCATTTTCTAGCTTCAAGATGATCTCCACGAAGTTGTCGGTAAAGCAAATTGAAGTTTTTATAAAGCCAGAGATGAAAGTGCTGAGAGATTCGAGGGAAGAGTCCCCTTCTCTTTTAACAGTGGGGATCCGTTCTTTGGCAAAATTCTCGCATCTAATTAATGGAATTCTCAGCAGACAGGTCTACCGATAGACACGCCGCATCATCGATTCAATTTGGTAATCGATTGAGTTTTGAACTGAAATCGAAGCCCTGGCTAGTCCGTCAGTAGACCTTAGATTAAACTGATTAAATATCAATAAAACTCGAACATTACTCTCCGAATTTCGTAACCCAACGGGGGAGCATGCATTGGAGCTGCACTTCGCTGTGGTTTCGGTTTCGGTTTCGGTTTCGGTTTTTGTTCAATTTTGTTGTACAAGTAACCCAAGCAAAAAGTTCAAATGGATTCACTCGTGGGTTTCCAAACAAAAAGCAATTATAGTTTACATTATGTCCAAACCATAAACACACCAAAAAAATACAAATGCACTTTCCCAAAGAGCCCGAAAACACACACACACACACACACACATAGAGAAATATCCCACATTGTTGTTTTGGTTTAGTTTTCGCACGCCAACTTTATGCTGTTTGTACAATGAATACAGTGAATAGTGAAAAGTGAATACTATGAATATGAATGCATGAATATAATCAAGCACGAGGCGATCCACACCGAAGTCAAAACAATGCGAGTAGAGTACTTTGCACAACTCAATCCAATCCCCACTTCATGCATTCATTCACAGCCCCCTCCTCTGGGCCGGATGGATATTTCGTACACTCTGAAGAAAAAACCAATTGTCGGACGACAAAATGCTCGTCATTGCAACAGCAGTTGTTGCACCGCGGAGGTAGCAGCCACAATGAAACACACAGGGGGGGCTATAGCCGAAGGGGGTATTCTCGGTGCAAATGTGGTCTTTATGGGATTCCCTATGACATGCAAAGGGGTAGAGTAGGGTACAAAATATGTACTTTGATCTTTTGTTCAGGGAAAGATCTTCAACAATAAGATCTTTTGGGCATAACCGTTTCGAGCAAAAAGTTCTCGAATGTTTCTTGTTCTCTTGAGTTCTGGTCTTGCCTTGTCACCGATCTTCAGTGGACACCCCTTTGTCTACGCACCTGCTGCTGCCCTGCACCTGTGTGGTGCAGGTGTGTGTGTCTCATTTTGTGACGACTCCACACGCGCCACTGACAACAACGGCAACTGTCGCTAACTTGGCCAACTCCGCGGCGGCTGCAACTGTTAACCGCCAACCAACAGGTAACAACAGCCTACTGGCATCGGCCAACAATGACAAGCAATCACAATCACAATCATGCGGCAATCAGTGGAGCATGGGGCACTGGCAGGGGCAGGAGGATCGGCAGAGGCGTTGACATGCACTCGAACTCGAACTCGAACTTCCACTTCCTAACGGCACTTATCAATTTGTGCGACAAAACGTCATATTTCATAGAGGGAGAGTCAAAGGCGGAGATGGAGATGGAGATACAGATGGAGAGGGAGATGGAGATGACGATGGCGATCGAGTGGTAGTGGAAGTGGGATACAAAGGTATTCAGGGGAGGAGTCGTAGACCTTTAAGACATATACCCGTAGTCGTACTCGTACTCGCAGTGCTACTTGCTTATGAAGAGGAAATGGAAATGGAAAGGCAGCTTCATTAGAGCGAAATGCAGGATGGGGAATGGGGAATGGGGAACGGGGGATGGTGGTAGAGCACGTAACGCCAGTAATGGTAATGGCCATAAAAAATAAAGAAATAACCAACATTCTCACACACGGACACACACAGAGCAGAGAGTCAGTCTTGAGATGGGAATGAATCCGGTGTGTATCTGTGGCATGCCAGAGCGCAGTTCCTCCTCTGATGATCAACGATGGCTGTGTCCGCTCTGTCTCTGGATGGATGGGATACATGTATGGGGAGTAGCGTGGGGAAGACGGACAGACCGACAGCCCGCCAGACAGCCAGACAGGTAGATAGGTAGGTAGGTAGCTGCAGCAGCAGCTATCCGTATCTCTGTATTTGCACTCGATGGGTATGTGTGGTATGTATCTCTTTGGCCTGGTGTTTGTGTGGCAAACGTTCTGTTGAATTATGCATGCCAGAAGATGGTATGGGAACCGAATCCGTAGGCCAAACCTGAACGCGCCGCAAAATGCAACTGAACTTGAAGTGGCTTCCAAAGCCATAAAAGGGGGCACCTCCAAGCACCCCAAATGGATTCCCCGACTCTTTTTTGTTCGTGTGTGTGCCTGTGTATGTGTGTGTGTGATATCTGTAATTGTTACGTTTATGGCATCAAATTCCAAAAGATTTTCCAAACGTTGCCTCTGCATTTGCATGTGACACACTTTCCAGAGGCATTCATTGTGTGCCCCACAGCTACTACAGTTACCGCTGAACCCCTGCCCCCTGCCGACGGGTTGCATATCAAATTACGCAACGCTTAGAGCGGAAATCATCACCCACTTTGGCTACCACTTGCCGTGGGTATGAGTATGAGTATCTCCCCTACCTTTTACTCACTTGAGAGCCAGAGCCAGAGTCAGAGTCCGAATCGCAGTCGCAGTCCCAGTCTAAACGGAATTGTTTTCTTTTATGGATGGATTGGCTGTTCCATTGACACTTGTGCCCGCGGCTTGTCTTTTGTTATAAACGTTGAAACGTCGGCTGCGGCGGTGGCAGTGGCGTTGGACCGCCTATCTGTGGCATGGAAGAGGCAGCAGTGCGTATCGTTGGAGGCGACGACGACGATGATGCCCGAATACCCGAATGCGAAACCGCCTGCTCTGCGGTCACTGGCTCTTGTTTTGGGGCTTTGTTATGTCTCTCCCTCTCCCTCTCTCCCTCTGTCTCTTTTTTGGTTATTAACAACGCAATTAATGTTGGGGCTCCCACGCGCTCCGCACAACGATTCTTGCACAATTTGTACCCACAATCGGATCGGATCAGATTGATTGAACAGAGCACAATCTGGTGTACCCCGCATAGGGATGGTGCTTGCGACTGGGTCTCACAAAAGTACGAGTATGACTTATTATTCTTCAGAGACTTCAGAGACTGAGCCCTCAACGAAACGTACCGAATCGTTTTGAACCGAAGTGAACCGAACGCTTTGAGATCTTGTTTAATACTGAAGTTGGTATCGAAGTGGAAGTTGGAGCCAGCGTCGAGCTAATGGAATGGTGTGTGCTGTGTGGTAGTGGAGTGATACGAAAGAGCGTTGGAGCCACAGTGGTACCAAGTGGAAAAGCCCAGACAAAATATTTGTTCGTCATAGAGATGGGCACAGGTGTCCTCTTTTGCAGGGATTCCGATATTACTGGTAAAAGCCCTTAAATATTTCTGCTTTCACATAAAGAAAATCAGGGTCGTCATCGCCTTCCGATAGTTTACTCACATCGGCGCGATCTAGCCAAGCTAGTGAGCCGGGGGTTGGCGCACAACCGAAGCGAATGTGCAGGGAGCTTGCCCCCTAGTCATTCATTTATATACAATATTAATGTATGTAAATAAGAGATATAATGAAATTTTTGTAGGATAGTTAAATCTTCTGAGATCAATCAATCTATTGATCAAACTATTGATATTCCAGCTAAGCCGAAAGATTACTTTCTTGGTTGGATTCTCATAATTTTCGTAGCTCCTTAAACTATCAAAAATGTACATAATTTTGTGCTTTGGGGAGGTAGCTAGTGGTAGAACGGGAGAGAGAGTGTGATTGGAGCGTTCTCTGTGAGTACATTCGAAATATTTACACACAAATACCTGATGCCATCCCACTGTGCTTTGGTTGCTGTTGTTACCAATGTTTCGTTGCCACCACGTTCCACCAGCCAACAGGCAACAGCCAACAGCCAACAGTCGAGAGATAAACCAAGCAGTGCAAGAATGTGGCAAGTGGGGGTCGGTCTGGTTCTACCTCTGGTCTCCGCTCCGTTAGAAAAGAAAGCTCTCCTGGGCGGACGAGCAGACAATGCCATCAACAAGCTCTATGGCCACAATATTTATGCTTCTGCATTCCGGCCGCAGAGATGGCGATCACAATGGAACTTTATTCTTTTTGTTGCTGTTGGCTTTTGCCTCCACTGCACTTTGTGGAGCGTCTGAGAGTCGAGAGTCGAGAGCCGATAATGGGCGATTGAGTCTGCTGGGGCGATGGCTTACTCAGCAGTTTCCGAGCGGGTCGAGCGAGTGACTCACGGCTCCATAGTCTCAAGGTTAAGCCACAAGTGTGGGGGTCGGTTTCTACTCTCATATGGTTTTGCATATGGCTGGTGGCTGCTGGATTATCGAGTGGCGGCTGCGTTGAATGATTGTCCGCAGCTGTTTTCGGAGCCTTAGGTTGTGGATGGCTAGTGAGAGGACGCAGTGGCAAGGAAAGTCATGTGGCAAGTGGCAAGGAAAGCCAATGTCCCGACGCATGAGCAGGTAAGACAACAACTAAGAAAGCAAAAAAAAACCTGAGAAGGCCAGCGGCATTTTGCAGTTATTTGGCTCTTGGCTGGGAAAACAGGTTCATGCGAGTACGGGTATCCCTCCCCCTACCCCCCCGCACCCCTTCCCCATCTGCCAGACAATTGATTTTTCCTTCCAGTGCACATGGCAATAGCATGGCGGGGCGCAATAAAGTTTTTCCAACTTTTGGGCTGGAGAGCCAGAAACGACTCTCCGTCGATGGTTGTCGTGGATGTCGTGCCGTTGCCGGTTGCAGTTGTTGCTGTTGTTGCCGCTGTTGCCGTTGTTGCCATTGCCATGACAAAAGAATGCGGCACTCGCCATCAAGTCTCAGGCCAAAGTCAAAATGTTATCTTAACTACGACCACGATTTGGCCAGGCCCAGACCGAGACCGGAGCGAGGTCCCCTGCAGAGAGAAAGAGGGATCCAATCCAAAGACAATTGCCGCAAAATGCCAAGTGCCGTTGCCTTTGGTTTCGGTCTTGGCTTAGACGTTGGCTTTGGCTTTCCAGCCAGCCAGCCAGCCCCCAGAATGCACACAGGGCCCACACAGAGTTTGTGGTGGCATGAATGTCCAACCGTCTGTACCCCTCTCTCTCCGGCGAATGGCAGTGGGAATGGAATAAATCGAATGGAGTAACCTTTTGGGAACTCTTCAGCAAACACAAAAAAATACTCACTGCCTGCAATCATTGGGTTTTTATTTCAGCTCCAACCTGTCCCACTGATGTCTGTCTAATTTTGGGCTAATTTCAATTTCCATTTCCCCCTTTCCACCTTTTGCTTGCACAAGGGCGTGCCCCTTTGGGTTGGGGTTGGGGCATGGCGATGCCTAAGCTCTGAGTTGGCGAAAATCAAATTGCATTCGATTAACCCGAGGGTGCCTCAAGAGGCAAGCAAATACGCGCTGCTGTTGATGTTTACTTTGGAAGTTAATTAATTAAAGAATATTCCTAGCTCTGGCAGCGAAAATTAACACTAGAAAGATTAAAGGGCTTGACTGAGCAGGCGGAAATTAATGAAATTACAACTGAAATTACTAAGAATTGCCTTTGCAGATCAACAAAAGCAGGAACTATTTTAGGTAATCTCTTAATTGTATATATGTAGATGGTTCGTTTCATATCCCTGTATTAATTTTAGCACTTGAAAAGTAAAAAGTAAAATATCTCGCAAGCGTTTCTAGGGTTAATCTTTTGCCGGCCGGCAGATATCTGGCAGCCAAAGATAGAAAGAGGAAGATGGAAGGCACCGCACAGAGAGAGATGGGTAGAGAAAGAGAGAGAGAAGGGGCATCGGCTGCTGATTGATTTGCTGCTCGTAGCACAGCGCCATGCAACATCAAGTGGGGTAAAAGGGGTAAGAGGAGGAGGCCTGCCACAGAGAGTGCACTTAATAATAATCCCGGACGGACGGACGGACCGACGGACAGTCGTTGGCCGCCTGCCAAGTGCCGGCGCACAGAGGCAATAAAACCAAATCAGAGGCGAAAACTCAAAGAGCACCGCATCGCTCCACCAAGTGAATGGAAGCCGATTCCATTAGCCACAGTTACGTTACAGCTACAGGGAGTGGGGATGCAGCTGCAGCTGCAGCTGATTGGGGGAGTTGGGGGTCGGACTGTAGAACGGACTGTAGACTCACCTGATGCGCTCCCGGGCGCCACCACGCTGCCGCCTGCCGCGCAGCAGAGAGTTGAGCTCCTTCATCACATCGCTGCCATTGCGCTCCATCTCGGAGAGAAGTTCGGCCTCAGCCTCCGCCTGGGCAGGGTCCATCTCTGCCCCAATCCGGTGAAGATCGGAGCCACTGCGACTGCGCCCAGACACAGGGGCCATGTGGTCGATCGAGTCGACGCTGCTGTTCATGTCAAAGTCCATCATCAGATCGTCGGAGCAGATGGACTCGCAGGGCGACAGGGTGTCGAGGGACTCGGCGCGATCGAGGACCGCCTGGCGCACGGCCATCGGGGTGCGGAGACTCAGCTCGATGGCCTGCTGGAGGGCCGTGCGGGCCTTCGACTGGCTCTTCAGCGAGCGGAGTGATCCGGTGTGCGTTTCCATCAGGGTGGGCGTGTCGGTGGCCACCTCGTGGGCCTCGCTGTTGCACAGCAGCGCCGGCTGGTCGGCGATCTCGTCGTCGATCAGGTTGCCGCAGTCCGATCCCAGCGAGAGCGAGTGGGAGGCATGGGTGGGCGTGCCCGGGGAGACAGGACTGCCCGGATCCAGCTCCAGCTCGAGCAGCGGCGCGATGTCGTCAATGTCAATGTCTATGTCCTTCTGCTGGCGCTCCTCGTTGAGCTTGTGCTTGTGCTTCTTGAGTTTGCCGCCCGCCTCCTCCGAATCCTCGGTGCTGCTCACGAGGCTGTCCGTGGGCGAGGTCTCATCGTCCAGCAAGAGGCAGGTGCTGCTGGCCAGCGCCAGCTCTGCAAACTTGGACTCGTTGAGCGCGTTGTTGAAGGACCGAGGACGTGGAGATGCCTCCCGATTGTCCACGAGGTGGATGTTGAGCATCGGTTCCTGGCCGGGCTTTGGTGGAGTCTCCGTCATCGAAGCTGGGAAGAAGTTAGAGGATAGCAATTAGAGAGGCAATTCCATGGCAAAAGACCTCTTGAATCCACTTACAAATTGTGCTAAATGGCATGTCCGTGTTGATGAGACTGATCTCGTCTAGTCCCAGGGACATATCCTCATCCCTTTCATTGTTTGCCCCATTTTCTGGGGCCTGCGACTGCGATTGGGTATCGCTGATGCTCATGCTGCTGCAGTCCATGGCGGCCAGGGATTCCCCAGCCAAGGACTGGCAGCGCCACGAACTGGAGACGGAGGAATGGCTCTGCTGTTTGGCACTCTTCTCGGATGTGGACGAGTCCAGGTAGAGCTTCTCTTCGTCCACGCTCTCGCTCTCGTCAGAGCCACTGGGCTTGGCCTTCCCCTCCGCCTGCTGGCTGCCGGAGGCAGACTGATCTCCAGCTTGAGGCGTCTCCTGCCTCCGTTCGTAGCTCTCACGGCTGAGCACCGTATTGGAGCGCACCAATCCGAGCAGTGGCAGGGGTATGGCCTGACTGCCGTCCGTGGGAAGTTTGGGCAGGGCCAGTGGCTCCACAAAGGAGTTCGATTCGCTGGATGGCGGATCGTCCACATCCTTCACCTCGAACGTGTGCCGTCCGCTCATCACCATCTGCAGATTCCGTGGCCGACTGCGACTCCGCTTGGATCCCACGGAACTGCCAGAGCTTCCCGAGTCCAAGGCCATGTCCAGGCTGGCGATGCCCGAGTCGGCGCTGATCTCTCGACTGCCAGAGAAGCCGCGACGCGTCGAGTTGTTGGTCAACTGCTTGACGCTCTTCTGGTCGAGGTGTCGCTGATCGGAGCGATGATGGTGCGTCTGTGTGGGCTGGACATGCACCGAGGTCAGGGGATGCTGTCGAGAGCTGGTGGAGATGTCCTTGGCCCTGGCCCCCGTGGCGTGGGCGGGCACTGGCGACTGCACACTGCTGCTGGGTGTGGTGGGCGTGGTGGCCGTCAGGCTGATGGCCACCGGATACTCCGGCCGTGGCAGGCTCACCGTCTGCAGGGTGAACTTTGCGAAGCTCGCGGGCGTGAGCCGTGGCGTGGGTCGTACACTGGAAGGGGCAGCAAAATCTTGTATTAATACAATGTATCGTATCGAGTGGGGACATCCCTCCCACTGGTGATCCCTCCCACTCACATGACATTCGCGTGCATGCTGGCCAAATTGTTGTAGTTGTAACGCTGCTGTCCGCCACGGGCTGTTGGGGCAGCAGCCGTGGTTTCATCCGCAATCTCTCCAAAGAACTGCCGCCTCTGGTACTCGATGGTCGTGTTCTGGTTGAGATTGAATGTGAGCGTCTTGGGCTGTGCTATTTTCGGCTGCTCCCCATCTCCGCTGCTGCGTCCCGCATGTGCGCTCTTGGAGCGACGTTTCACTATTGGGAAGGTAGGACGGCAGGACGGCAGGAAGATACGAAGGAGATCTTAAGGTCTGTTCTGTTCTTTTATGGGGAGAACGATTCTATGGTTTACTTACAATTGCTCACCAGCCCAGTGCTGGTGCCTGCTACTCCTCCTCCACCGCCACCGCAGTGGTTGTTGTTGTTCTGGGTATTCTGTGCGGCCGTCTCCGATTCGGACTCTTCACTGGGGCCACCGTACAGACCCGTGGAAGCGGGCCGGGGCAGGGCTCCGCGATAGCCAAAGCGTTTGCCAGCCGCACCTGCTGCCGCGACTCCGGCAGTCGAAGATTTTGGTGCGGCGGCGGCACCCACCTTCTCAAAGTGAATGGGAGTAGTAGCTGTTGGATGGGGATGTGGATGTGGATGACAGTTATTGGTATTGTTGTTGCTTTTGTTGGTCAGTTGGCATGTCAGCATGTCGTTGTTAAATTGTGGCCAAATTAAAAAGCCATAACACTTACCAGCATTGCCATTGTCGTCCTTTGTGTCTGTCATTGGTGTGGAGGTAGTGTGGGATTCCAGGAGTTTCTTGAACTTCTTGGGCGTACCATTGAGCTTCTTGCGAAAGCCGAAGGACATGGCTGTGCCTTTGGTATGCAGTGGCTGCTGCTCCTGGGACGAGTCCCAGTTATTGCCATTGCCATTTCCATTTCCATTCACATTTCCATTTCCATTTAGGTTACGTCGATTGGACTTGCTGCCATGCTTCTTGCTCTCCGCCTGGCCCTATCATTGCACAGAGAAAGGGAGAGAGAGAGAGAAAACCGATTAAAATGAAAGCGGCAGCGGATTTGCAAATCGGGTCAACACACAGATGCCACAGATGGATGGAGTGCACTCCACACCAAGCCATAAGCCACGAGCCACAAGCCACAGAGACACAAAGGACACGGAAGACAATACAGAACAAAAAAGCTGTGATTGTGGGTTGTCGGTTGTGGGCGGGCTCTAACTACGTGGGCCAGACATGACTCATACAGGAACTATAGATATACTATATAACTATCTACAAGATACATTTGCTGTATCCAACGGCACTCGACGGCACTCGACGGCACTCGACGAACGGTATGCAAAACGGGGTCTCGTCTATCTTTACCATGATGACTGCCTCGACTTCTGCGTCTACTGCTGCGTCCTCCTCCTCCTCCTCCTCCTCAGCTTCAGCCTCAAGCTCAGATTCTGCTGTGTCTCGAATGCTCTGCGTATCTGTATCTGTGTCCTTTGTATCTTCCGAGTGCTGCAATCCCTTATCATCGATGGTGGGTGACTGCTGCTTCTGCTTCTGCTGCTGCTGCTGCTGCTGCTGCTGCTTCTCGTATCCCTCCCCGTGTCCGTGTTGTGCGGCTAATGTGACGACGACGGGGTTGTCGCATTCATCCATGTTGTCGGCAGGCGGCAGGGGCACTCGCTGTTTCGGCGAGCCTCCTCCTCCTGCTGCTGGCTAGCACTCGACTGATCCTCCGTCTGGATGTTGGCCCCGAATCCTCTTCTACTGCTATGCAATGGAGGGCCAGCAATGTACATCGCACCGAAATTACGCCATTTATAATTGCACTACACTACACTCACAGGTTCTTTCTCTCCTCTCCTCTCCTCTCGCACACAGATACACACTCTCAGTGAGCCCGTACGTACGTACACACGTATGTACGCCCACTCGTACTCGGGAGGGGGTCGGTCGGTCCTTGAAAATGTCAGTCCGTCGATTTGCTGGAAAAATCTTTCAGCACCGAGCAGATTTTTCGCACACTTTTCACGCCTCAGGTTATGCAAACGTTTTTCCGCTTTCTTTTGGCTTTTTCTGTTCTGTTGTTGCACTTTTCGCTGGGTTTCCTCGCGTTTTCCACAGCTTTTCTTGCGGTTCTTTGGGTATTTTTACAGTTTTGCAGAGTTTTTCCTGCTTGGACGATGCTCCGGCGACGATTTTTCACTTGTGAAACTACGGCAAACGGAAAATTGAATGGGAAGCATGCGACACGAGTGGCTCGCTCCGAGAAACGTCCGACTTCCTTGTGGTGGGTCTTGCTCTCTCTCCCTCTCTCTCTCTCCCGCTCTCTCCCGCTCTGGTCAAGCGGGGCAGAAAGAGAGAGCGAGGGAGAGAGAAAGAGTGTCCACTCATGCGCAGAACCACAAAAACAAGTGGCAGGAAAATTCTATGCAACAATTTCGGGGGTTGGTTGCATGCAGCAGCCAACAGCCGATGCACGAACCGTCTTTGGGGCAAAAGGTTTTGAAATAAATTGTTTGATTTTTGAATAATTCAAACTTTGACTTTTGAAATTTGTTTGCTTACAAATTGTTCAAAAAATAGGTTGTTGGGGTTTGTTGTTCATTTAGAAAGTAGCAAATCTTTCAGAAAATTGATTCATTTATGGGATTACAACATTTTACGCTAAAAAACACGATGCAAAAGCTCTTAAAACAGCTGTTAAATGAAAAGTGGCAGAAAGCTTGGGAAGAGAACATTGGTAAGGATATTTCCAAATATTTTAACTTGATTTTCTACTCTTTCATTACATTTATTCTTGTGAAAATCGTGGCTAAACATCTCCATTTCTTGTATAGATTAATCTTTTCTTCTAGCTACCATTTTTAGTATAAATAAATAACATTTAAGCCACTGTGCAATGATCATAGCTTTTTTGATAGCTTTAAAGCTTTTAAGTTGCCGAAGCTTTGAAGCTTAGACGCCAATTATATGGCTAATAAACAGGAACTATTAACTATATTTAATATTGATGTAAGTATGTATATAATTTATATTTATTCTGTCTTCATTATTCATTTCAATCATGAAGGATTTAGCTTTTTCTCCAACATTCATTAAGCTAATTTTTGTAGAGGTATCAAAGATTTGGTTTTGGGATAGCTTTATGGGGATTGATTTCCCTACCGTTGCCTCGTTCTATCGTTGGGAGAGGGAAACACGGAGCATACCTTGGGGGGATTTCTCTGCATGCATCCGAACGCCTAATTGGTTCATGTAAAATGCATATGTGTATAATTAAACCCTAAAGACGCTCATCCCGTTGATTATGGGAGGATTAAGCGTTCCCCTACTAATTTCTTCATGTAAAAAGCATGTGTGAGAACTAATTATCCTTTGGGGACCGGAGGACCGGAGGACTGGAGGACCGGAGGACGCCCATCAGGCAGTTAACGAGGATGTGCAAGTGAATTGCTGAGTGGGTGATGGGGTAGGCACTTCGGATTGGGTAAATCAAGAGTGTAAGACATGATATGTGATGGCACAGACACTTCCCGAGGGAGTAAATGGGTAGGAAGCTATTGTCAAAGGATTATTAACAAGGGGACTCGGGACATGTTTGCCCAACACTTTTGAGGGAAAACTGCAGAGGGGGATCCCAATTTCCAATCAATTTCCCGACACTTTCTCCTCTAAACAATAAATATTGATGCCTCGGGGGAAATCCAAGCGACGAAGTCCGAGATGATGACAACTGCCCAAAGAGGAAGTGATTGGATTGGAACTGTTTACCCACAGCCCACGGATTCCCACTGCGAGGAGGAGGGACACACAGAAATTTCAACAAAAGGATGCAACATTTATTGATAGTTTCCTGGACGCCCCAGCCCCAGCCCCTGCCCCCGCCCCAACCCCAACACCAACTCCAGGCCAACGCTACCCCCAATCTGGTTATAAACATTTATCAATATTACTCACCTCATCTCCATCGAGTGCCAGCCAGCCATTGTTCTTCCTTTCTGCCAGAGATTGGTGCTGCCGAGACTGTGGCCTGAATCCTTGCCGGGCTGCTGCTGCTGCCTCCTCATCGGCACTCTCGATGGCCGCCTGAAGGAGCTCCTGCAGCAGGAACTGCTGGCACGACGAGTAGACGTAGTCGCAGTGCTGGTCCTGGTCCTGGTCCTGGTTCTGGTGCTGGTCCCGGTCCACTTGGGCCTCGTTGTAAAGAGACTCGATGTGAAGGAGGGCCGCCTCTTTCTCTGTCGGTGTATCCTTGGCTGTCGGTTGGGGGCGGCGGCGGCGGCGGCTTATGCTGTAATAAAATGTCTCCTCCTCGGGCTGCTGATGCTGCTCCTCCCCGTGCTTTTGCTCTGGATTTTCCACTGATGAGGCTGCGGTTGCTATGTATTCATTACTGGCTGTCAACTGTTGCCAGATTTTGTGGGCCTGGGCCAAATCTTGCTGGGACAGTGCGAATGTCAATACGGATTGATGATGCTCCCCGTCTGGGGATGTAATCTGAGGAAGTGGCAGCGGTAGCGGTAGCGGCAGTGGGGACTGCCGGGAGACACACTTGCCCATCTTATGTCACATGTTCCCAATAGCAAATGCACTTGACAGACGAGGTCTTGCGGTGGTGGTGGTGGTGGTGGTGGTGGCGCCTTTTTCTCTCGTGCCCCCCTCTTTGGTGGTGGTGGCGCCTCCTCCTCCTGGAATGGTGGTTTCAAAAGAAGAATCAAATGAGTGGCTCGGCTATTGGATCCATGCGATTCTCATATCGATATGCTGGGAGCTGCTTTGGAGCCTTGCGGTTTGCGTGCAGGTAATGATACACCTGTCTCTCAGCACCTCCAGCCCCGTCCCCGGGTGGTCCGCCCCCTGCAGCAGACCCGGCCAGACCTACCTCCCTCCCTGGGACCAGTCCATTGCCAAAGCATTATATCGCGCTGCACGTTTTTTATTAAATTTTATTAGAGTGCCGCACATGCACGGACTAAGAGAGAGCCCCAGGCCCAATGCCCCATGCCCCATGCCCCATGCCCCATGCCCCATGACCCATTCCCCATGCCCCAAACTTCATTCATCCCTCACCCCTTTATCCATTTGCAGAGCTCCATCCATGCACGGAGAGAGCAGCATAAAGTGGCGGAGCGGGCAACAAAAATAAAAGCGAGAGAGAAATATATTCACGCAAATGTAAGCAACCTTTGGGAGAGCTGAAGACCTGCATCACAGGCTGTGTCCTGCCACTGCCACTGCCACTGCCACTACCACTGCGCCTTCCACTGTTCCTGTTGCAAGCCCTTGCTGCTCCTCTTGTTGCTCCTCCAGTGTTCCTGCTTCGTAGCTTTATGGCGCATTTGCCGCATAACAAAATTTACACCCACCAGAAGCCAATGCGTTGGGGCATGCCTGCCTGCCTGCCTGCCTGCCTGCCTGTCCTGTTTGTGGCAGACACAGACACCCTAACAGCGGCCTCCAGGCCATCCACTAGTCGGAGGGACTCAACAGCCTTTGATTACTGATTCGATACGTAAATCAATTTTCGAAAGTTCCCATCATTTGCGACACAAAATCCTCCATCCTTGGCTTTTAAAAAATGCATCTATTGGTTGCTTTGGAGTCGACATTTGCAGATGTATCTCCTCTAGGATAGGGAGAAATTTAGCATATCTACAGTGAAACAGCAGACAGCGACAGCTGTTGGTGTCTCTAGGGAGGACAGTCTTTTGGTCTTTTCCTAGAAATCTCTGCCCTAAGCGGTCACTAGAGGAACTGTAAGTCCCCGGCTACTAGTAGAGGTTCAAACTTTATATTGCATATCTTAAAGTAGGAAGAAGAGTCCTAGCTCCAGCTGGATTTCTTTTCCTTCATTGTCTATCTTATCCTATATGCCACAGATTCTTGTCTCCCGTATAGTGTATTCCATTTGGCGCGTTTATCTGCAAAGTATAGAGTTCCCTGTTGATCCCTGGGTCTGGTCTGTGTTTATGCCTGCTTATGTCGTTTTGGCTTACTTACATTTGCCGCGGCTTTGTGCTGCATAAATTTCAGTGCCACGCCTCCACATAGCACCAGGGACCAGCCACCAGGCACCAGTCCGTGCCTCCCTTGCCACCACGCACCACCGCACCACGTCCACATCCACCATCACCATCACCATCTGCACCTCCATTTCCATCAAAGGTACGTACTCCACTGGTACTGCTCGTACTACGTGGCCCTTTTGTGCTAACTGCCAACTTTTATTTGCTGCCTTTTCTCATAATGAGGCAATTCTGCAGTTTGTTCTGTGCGAGTTTTCACTTGTTACTCTTGTATTTAATAAGCCAAAGGGTAGAGCAGCAGCAGTCACACAGAGGCAGAGGCAGGAAGGCGGATCCTGGATCCAGGATGCAGGATGCAGCAGGGCTGATGAGAGGTCCCCTAATGCAGCGCTTTGTATGCGCGAAGTACAAATCCCGTAGCAGATCCCAGATATTGGTCGCATATGTAAATTGGGGCACCACTGAAGCTACTTGTAATTATGCGCATAAATAACTCTCGAGACACAGAGACAGGGAGACGGGGAGACAGAGAGAGAGAGAGAGGGGGAGAGCGGGGGAGTGAGAGAAGGCTGAGGCTGAGGCGCCGCCGATAAGGCTGCATTCGGACTGCATTGGCGTTTGGTGGCTCATGCATAAGCATAACCATTGTCCCATTTCGATTCGATGTGGCATGCAACAGCTGTGCCGCCGCTTACAACAAACACTTTGGATGGGCACTGGCATTGCCTCATGCATTTCAATAGGCCCTCACCTCACCTCTCCGCTCGGCTCTTGCCAAAAACTCCAATAAAAAACACACTCTGATATGAAATGGCGGGGCTTTGCCACATGCCCCACATTTCCCATGGCAGGGTGGCGGGGCGGGGGGGCATGATGGGTGCCACAGTATAGTTCTGCTGACAGGACAAAGTTTTGTGGCATGATTAAAACGAAACCTCACCCAAGTTGGCAGCGCTGACAATTTTAATGCAAACAAAAACTTCCTTTCGCTGACAGCAGAGGCAGCGCGGAAGAAGGCCAAAACGAACAAGAAGAAGGCCAAGTTAATTTTGCATGCCACTGCCACTGCCACACCCCTCCCTTAATGCAAATTGACGGCAATACAAGAAGGGGCTGTACAAAAAGGTGCCGTGCCCCCCCGGGCGCCCGCTCGGGCAAAAACTTCTGTCTGCCGATTCGCGCGGACA